CCCAAACTCCATGTTGGAACAAGGTGATAAAGAAAAAGCCCGAGCCATGCTTAAGCGTATCCGCGGCGTCACCGACAAGGAAGTCGAGGCGGAGTTTAATGATATATTGGCCGCCAGTGAAGCATCAAAGCAAGTGAAACATCCATGGAGGAACCTTCTAAAGAGACAGTATAGACCACAGTTGATCTTGGCTGTTCTCCTTCCTTTCTTTCAACAAATAACTGGAATCAATGTCGTCATGTTTTATGCTCCTGTGCTGTTCAAAACCATCGGTTTCGGAGACAATGCTTCACTCGGATCTGCGCTCATTACTGGTATTATCAACATGTTGGCAACGCTTGTTTCAGTCTATGGGGCAGAAGGGCTTTGTTCCTTGAAGGCGGAATTCAACTGTTCATATTCCAGGTAATGAAAGTTCTTAATCTCTAGTTTGTCTGCTAATTTCGATTAGCTTATAGAAACTTTTTCACTGTTTGGCTGCATTATTTTTCCCGAAATCTCCATTCTTATAAGTTTTACTGAAAAAATCTTTACTCTTATAAGTTCTAATCTAATAATTTCTAGCTCTAATCTAATAAGTCCTTCCATAAGCTTTACATAAAGAAATCTTAACAAACAGAACATTCTTTCTACATGTAGGTTCTGGTATCAGTTTTTATCGGATGGAAATTTGGAGTATCTGGAAACGTAACCGAGTTGCCGAAATGGTACGCAATTCTTGTAGTGCTCTTCATCTGCTGCTACGTTGCTGCATTTGCATGGTCATGGGGACCTCTGGGGTGGCTAGTGCCGAGTGAAATATTTCCTCTGGAGATTCGATCAGCTGGACAAACCGTTGTTGTCACCGTAAACATGTTGATGACATTCCTAATCGCTCAATTATTCCTCAACATGCTCTGCCATATGAAGTTTGGGTTGTTCATCTTCTTTTCATTTTTTGTTGCCGTCATGACCGTCTTCATCTACTACTTCTTGCCGGAGACCAAGAACATTCCCATTGAAGAGATGCAACATGTTTGGAGACAACACTGGTTTTGGAAGAGATTCATTCCCGATGAACGTCCTCAAGTTTAATTAATTTAGTTTTATTTTCTTAATTTTTCTTGTTAATTTCTTCGTTAATTATCTTTGGGTAACATTGCCCTTTACCAAAGTATACACTGATTATTGCTGCACATTATTTCATTAATTCATCGATTATATATATTTTTCTTCCGTTATATATACAGTATAAGGAAGTGTAATTTGTTAAATAACTTAACGTTGGATTTATAATTCTTTACTTTAACGTTATCCGAAATTTCACCTGCTTTTATGATAATGGTTATATTTAAATTTAAGGCTGAGGTCTTATCCAAATTCCTTAAAAGTGAGCTCGTAATGTTAAGAGTAATACTACACTCCCAATCCAATCTCACAACTTTGTTTTACAATCCTAACGTGATAGTTGAGTTTGCAAGTGTCTCCCACAATACTCAACTCACTAAATGACTTTGACTAAATATAAAAGTTTTTTCTTAAGGACGAACGATCATTCTTCTTTTATAAGAAATAATCGTTCCTTCGTAAGGAATGATCGTTCATCTTTCTAAGAAACAAAACCGTTCATGTGTTTAGTTAAAGTCATGAGTTGACGTGATAGTGTTAACTTTAATGCCAGTATTTTTTTAATGTTAAACCAAATTCAAATTATATTATATTTCTTGTTATTTGATCAATAATATTTATCAAAAGTAAGTTACATCATAACCCCGTCCATTATTCAATATAAACTTCTTGAAAAAATCTCTCAACTAATCCTTCTTCATTAATATTTCAAGACTTGGTGTTCTTAATCTGAAACACAAAACCATGAATTCAATCCTAATAAGAGATCAGCTATGACAACTTTTAAATTCGTATAAGTGGATTAAATAATCAGATACTCTATTTTCTAAAACTAACAATCCTCAAAGATACAGTAGATTATGGTTTTTCAGTAAAAAAAAAAAAAAATGGATATCACCAAATCCATGTTTTATTTTATCGATCAAATCTACTGAGAGTTATCCATTAATAAAAGGCATTTATCCCTGACTTCTTCCACCAACTTTTCCGTGTATCTTGAAGAAAGATTTTTAATGATATGCTTAAGGAAATCACCATTTTCAAAATTGATTACCAAATATCTTATCTAAAAAAAATTATCACACCTCGATCTATATAAACACAAAGCCCCTCCTTATTTCACCAGTCTTTCGCTTAAGGATTGCTTCAATAGATACAAATGGCTGGAGGCTTCGGTATTGAGAGTAGTAAGAAGGGGGTTGAATACCCCGGTAAGGTTACTTCTTATGTATTGGTAACCTGCATTGTTGCTGCTATGGGTGGGTTGATCTTCGGTTATGATATTGGTATCTCTGGTATGTCAGTTATTCCTCATTTTGAATGTTAAGTTTCATGCATTAATCAAGATATATTATACTTAAAACTTTGTTTTTCCTTTCATTTTGATGATTTTAGGTGGGGTGACATCTATGGCTCCGTTTCTGATAAAATTTTTCCCATCTGTTTACCACAAGGAGGCCTTAGATAAATCAACCAATCAATACTGCAAATTTGATAATTTCTACTTGACTATGTTTACTTCTTCTTTATATTTGGCTGCGCTTGTGGCGTCGTTTTTTGCATCATGGGTGACGAGAAAGTTGGGGCGAAAGGTATCCATGATGCTTGGTGGTTTGATCTTTTTTGCCGGAGCAGCCATCAATGCCTTTGCTCTAGCCATTTGGATGCTCATTGTGGGTCGCATTTTGTTAGGTCTTGGCGTTGGTTTCTCCATCCAGGTAAACCCTTCTTACTAATGTGTTTACTTCTACTCTCCACTCATTATAATTCTCAATCTCAAGTAAAAAGAACTCGTTGAAAGTTCGTTTATGATGAGAGATATATAATTTTTTACTCTTTCAAAACATTATAAATCATGTATTTCAATGAGAATTATTCTGTTGATTTTCTCATTAAAGTCATGTGGTCCGAGGAACTGTTGAATTGGAACTAGAGACTTCTTCTGCAATGCAATATATTTTAGCCACCCGAACCTTTAATTAATTTATGTTACTAACTCTTGCCAAATTATTTCAGTCTGTACCACTATATGTCTCAGAGATGGCTCCATACAAGCACCGTGGTTCTCTAAATATAGTCTTCCAATTATCAATCACAATAGGCATTTTCGTGGCGAATTTGGTTAACTATTTCACTCAAAATATCAAAGGCGGCGAAGGATGGCGCTATAGCCTTGGCGGTGCCATGGTTCCTGCAGCATTCATTTTCTTTTCTGCATTATGTCTTCCCAATACTCCAAACTCTATGCTTGAAAGAGGCGACAAAGAAAAAGCCCGAGCAATGCTCAGACGCATCCGCGGTGTGTCCGACAAGGAAATCGAAGCGGAGTTTAACGATTTACTGGCCGCCAGTGAAGCCTCAAAGCTAGTGAAACATCCATGGAGGAACCTCCGAAAGAGACATTATCGACCACATTTGGTTATGGCCGTATTGATTCCATTTTTCCAACAACTGACCGGCATCAATGTGGTCATGTTTTATGCTCCTGTGCTGTTCAAAACTATTGGATTCGGAGACAACGCGTCTCTCGGCTCTGCAGTCATCACTGGTATTGTTAATATGATGTCAACTTTTGTTTCCATCTACGGGACTGATAAATGGGGCAGAAGGTTCCTCTTTCTTGAAGGTGGAATACAAATGTTCATATTTCAGGTAATTAATAAAAAATTGGATTTTTGTTGCTTTTATTTATTTGTTTTTTATTCAGGAGGACTTAGTTCTTATGGTTTGCTTTCACAAAAGCCAATGTTTCAAGGACTGACGGGAGTTCATTTGGTTTTTTCACTTTGTTAATTGTTGCATATTTATATATGCAGGGTCTGGTGGCAGGTTTTATTGGGTGGAAATTCGGATTAACTGGTCAAGTAACCGACTTACCGAAATGGTATGCAATTATTCTAGTGGTCTTCATTTGTGTGTATGTTTCTGCATTTGCCTGGTCATGGGGGCCTCTTGGATGGCTAGTGCCGAGTGAAATTTTCCCACTGGAGATTCGATCAGCTGGGCAAAGTATTGTGGCTTCTGTAAACATGTTTATGACATTTCTGGTTGCGCAGTTATTCCTGTCGATGCTTTGTCACTTGAAGTTTGGTTTGTTCATCTTCTTTGCATTTTTCGTCGGAATAATGACTGTATACATCCATCTCTTCCTGCCGGAGACCAAGAACATTCCCATCGAAGAGATGTCGAGAGTATGGAGAGAACACTGGTTTTGGAAGCATTACGTGCCTGAAGTGACCACTGACGTCTAAAGTTGAACTTTTGTTAGTTTCAGGAATAATTTTTATCAATTTATTTATTGTTCTTTGTTCTAGCTGTTTTACTCTTCTCAAGTTTATAAAACCAGTGTTCCTTATATTTTCCATCCTGATATGAACTGTAATTTTTTTCATCATAATTGGAAGAGATGGTTTTGGTTTTTTAAGTTCACCAATATCAAGGCGAAGGCCATAAAACTTTCTTCTATTTTACTTTTTCGAATTCGGAAGGTCTAAAACTTAAGTGGTTAATTATATTTTGGGTGTTTTTGAAGCCAAGGGGTGTATAATACTTTTTTGCGATAAATTGGGGGTTAAAAAAACTCGGCCTTTAATGTAATTGACCGTTGACCCAAAAATGATGACTTGGCTGTGAAAGCAATCATTCGTAGGGGAGCCAAATCTAGTGGCGTCCCCTGCAAATCTTAGTGGGGCCTATTCCGAAAAGGTCGGGCCGTGACGGATTAAGTTATTCATACGTGGCAAGATCCCAGTGGGCCATCAACGATAAGGCAAGATTCGTTAGATTTCGATTTGTGTTGTTTTCAAACCCAAGTTTACCCATCTTTATTACTCTGCCTATGGCATATAAAAAAACCAAAACTTCCATTAATGGAACTGGAATCTCAATGAGTACTTTGAAAGTACAGAAACAACTTCAACTTCAAGAAGTTTTGCTCAGAGCTAGCTCTTTCCTCAGTCTTCAGCTCCAGCAACCATTTTGTCTTCTTTAAACGGTACATAACTGCCCAACTTTCAACTCTATCGCTTTTCATTTTTACTCGTAAGCTTTTTTTCGTTTTCCCATGTCAAGTTGTTTCTTAGCTATCTTCAGTTTCAGTATAAAATAACAAACTTGTTGTATATGTATTAAGATAACCAAATGTGGAGTTATGATATATCTGTTGGCTGGAGATCTTTGTTGTGCACATATAAGAATCCTAGCAGAGTTTAGTAATCATCTGCAGTAGATGAAAAAGACCAACTTTGTTTTTCAGATTTAGTAATTTTTTCAGTTTTAGTGTTGGTGTTTAGGTGCTCTATTTAGCTCGTTGTTTGGGTTCTATAAGTTGGTCAACTATAGTTTGATTGAATTCAGTTTACTGTTGATGTTCATTTCATCAAGTAATCTAGACCATCTAGTTGTCCATTTTGAATTTAGTACTTTCTGTTGAATTGAGCAGAATTGTGTTACTTCCTTGAGAAACATTTAAAGCTATGATACTATATTTTTTTCCAATTCGACAATTAGGATTTCTCAATCACTATGCCTATGTTGAAATTAAATACCCAAATGGTTCATATATGTGCTTAAGAATCCTTCAATATTGGTTCTGCGACCCCAGTACACTAGAGAATTTTTTTCCGGGTAAGTCCATGGAGAAATGGACTGATATAGTATATCTAATATGGTAAACTCGAGAAAAATACACTAATATGGTATTCGTAGAACTTTGAAATTGTTGCTTGCATTTATGGTTGTTGCAGTTTATGTACCTTGAAGGCATATAAAATTTCCCTTTCTGGTGTTTCCTTTTCTTAATTTTCAACCTGATAAAGGTTTGAAATTTGTTAATTTTGTGACATTGGAATGTATAAGAAAGCTGGTTTGATTTACATCTATCTTTGCCTAGAGATTAATTTGTTCATACCATTCTATTTGATTCTCCTCTCAACTTTGTGTGGCCGAAATTTCAATTTGCTACAAAATTCACTCTAATGGAACTTCTTCCTATTTCATGTTAATAGGAGCTGTGGTTGATTCTTCATGTACAGCTGCATTACCCTCACTGGGCGTTGTAGGTTCTCTTCTACTTTCGATGAAGACATTTGTAAGAAATGGCATGTGTTATATCCTACTGCTGATACTTTAACAAAAGTGAAGAAAAAGAAGCTAATCAATGCATCTGGTGGAGCAATTTGTTGTAGAGAAGCTCTTCCTCTGCAAAATGTGGCTGAAACACCTGTCCCATGGAGGATATATAACATGACAAGTAATGTAGCGGGGTCCTTATCGAAGCGAACTTTGCCAACAGAAAAGATGCGCATGGTGTGCTATGCGTACGAGTCTAGTAATAATGAGCAACAACTGAGATTGTTGGAGTCATATTTTGCCAAACTCAAAAATGATGCAAATCAGACTTCTGCTGATTCTTTGAACAAGAAGACAGACTTAAATCATAGAAGCGGCAATATCAATGCAAAGAATACACTAGGCTCTCTAGATTCTTATCTGGAAAAGCTTAACAAAGGTAGCCTCTCATATGCCAGCTACTTGTATTGTAGCCTTCTTTCAGTTTAGATGATAACAATTACATACTGGAGAAAGAAAGAAACTACAATTTTTGTACTCATAACCTGATTACTTCCTCTGACATTTTGAAAAAGAGGGCTAGAAGCTATGCCAAATATTATGTTGAATCATTTGAAGTTTGGTTAAATTCTGAATTGTCTCTGTGACTTTGTTTATCATGTTTGATATTGCATAGAAATAAGAATAAATTATTAGCCTACCATTTGTAGATACCTTACCATTGTTCACAGCAGCTCTAGTTCAGTATTAGGGGCTTTTGACCCCTATGTTATGCTAGATTCACTGGACATGCATTACGAGTTTATCCATTATATTCAATACGTAGTGTAATTCATTAAAATCCATCTTTATATTGTCAGATTTCCCCATTTCTTTTCATAACATTCACACTCAACTCACCTGTTCCTTCAGAGTGCTGATGCTCTTCTCCAATCATGTCAAAACGATTTCAACAGCCATCCTTTTTTTTCATTCTCAGCTTTGAAGAATTCCTATATTTTGAATTGCATTCATTTTAAGTGCTGTTGTATATTTAGAGTCTCCTTTCCTCTTATTTATGATAATGTGATTCAACTATCATTGACTGCTCAACATTAGATATGCTACAAGGAATAAGACGTCTCAATTCTGTCTTTCAAAGTGTTTCATCTAGTTTGTTAGTTGGTGTGCTTACAAATTACTTTGCTCCAATTGATCTGTACTTCTATGCAGTTTTCAATGATATATTGACGGCTTATTAACATTATTGTTTGGTTAATTTTATCTCCAGAGAAAATATGTCCTTTTAATATTCTACATATTTTTCTTTGCATTGTTACATTTTAAGTAGTTACCTTGGGATCCTTTTTTCTTTCAGATCCAAACTTCCAAGACAATGTGTTATCTACATCTGATGACCAAAGCACTGAAGGCAATCAGGTTGGAACACCTTTTCCTATCAGCAAAAGTTCTGAAAGAGGTGTCAAGGGAGAATTGAAAGGTTACAAGAAGTTCGAAAGCAGGGATGGCGTAAATCGTTTAGTGAGGCCTCAGGCTTTACCGCAAAATGATAAAATCTCTGATCTCTACTTAGTGTAAGGCATTATTTATTTGACACAGCATAATTTCCTTGATGTCATTTATCTTCTTAATGTTCTGTACAATGTAGCTGGAACTTATTCGATGTTGATGTTTCTTTATTCATTTTGACTGCAGAGGCGCATTGGCTTCCATAAATATTGCAGTTTTTTTGTTTGAAATAGCCAGTCCAGTCAGCAACTCTGAATTTGAGCTCTTTTCTCTTCCATTATTGTATGGCGCAAAGATTAATGACTTGATCCTGGTCGGAGAGTGGTGGAGGCTAGTGACGCCTATGTTTCTGGTACAAGATTGACAATTGGGTTCGTGTTCCCATTCTGTTACTGTTCCTGCATTGCATTTTACTAACAGCTTGAAACCAGTTCTGAACATTGTTCAAAACTGTTAGGCACTGATTTTTGTTATTGGATTACAGGAGATGCTCTTTAAAATTAAATGACCTCATTTTATTTTATCCATCATAGATAATTCTTTCGTTAAAGTTTGAAGTTTTATTCTATAAGAACTTGGATGGATTACACACTGCCAATGTAGTCATCATTGTGAAACGGAGCCATTAAATATGAAATTGGAGTTATGCATGACCTGAAGCATTTATGAATTGAACTTTTTTCAAATGTTGTATGCAATGAATTGAACTTACTTTACATGCCTTATGAGAAGCATTGGCTTGATTGCATGTCATGAAATTTTTCATTACTGCCCTACAAAGCAGGAATTGGTTTCATTTTTTTGAAATTCTTATGCCTCCTTAATTCTTAATTTGGCTCTGAGATACTGATTATACTGCCTTGTGAATATTATGCAGCACTCGGGGCTTTGTCACATAGCTCTTGGTTGTTGGGCGCTTCTTACTTTTGGGCCTCAAGTTTGTAAAAACTATGGTTCATTTACATTCTTGTTGATATACACACTTGGAGGATTTTCTGGCAACTTAACAAGCTTTCTTCACACACCAGAACCAACTGTTGGTGGAACCGTAAGCATCATTCCAGCTTTATCGTTCACTGTTCTTTGATACCTTAACAAGATGGACCATTAAGCTTTTTACATGACAAGTACATTGTTGCTTCTTGAAATCTACTACCCATATTTGTAGTTATGCTCAATCTTTTATGAATTATCATGTTGCAGGGACCAGTTTTTGCTATAATTGGAGCTTGGCTTATTTATCAAATGCAAAGCAAAGATGTGATTGAAAAGGATGTTTCAGAGAGTATGTTCCAGAAGGCAGTGGTTGCCACAACTCTTAGCTTCATCATAAGCAATTTAGGACCAATTGATAACTGGTAAGACTTTACAGTAATTAGTAATTAGATCAGGAAAAATGACAATTTGCCACCCAAGGTTTAGTGCAAGTAATTTTTCCACCCAAAACGTTTGAAAAAAAAAAAACAATTTCTCACCCATAAGATCCCTTAGTGAGATTATTAACTAACATGGTATAAATAATGTAAAGACGAAAATACCGTTTAATATTTGAATCCAAATTTATACCCAAACCCAATAATCCAAATCCACCCAACCACCCCAAAATTGTCCATGCCCAATACCCTTTACTATTTTTGTTGAAGAGGTTTTTGTTTTTGTTGTTGGTGAAGAAAGCGGCCCAGAGGGGAGCGAAGACAAGATCAAAGTTTGTGAGGAAGAAGAAGGCAATTTTGGGCTTGGAATTTGACAAGGACAAGTGGGAAATTTTGGAGGAGACGGCAGAGCGTGCAAAGGTTTGTTGTTGGGCAGTGACGGCGTTGTGGAAGAGGCAAAGATTGTTGAGGTTGTTAGAGAGGGCGAGATCTCCATTGTCTCTCTCCTCCATCTGCCCACACCTGGCCGGATGCGATTTAGGCCGAATCATACTTGACCTGGTGCGATTCCGGCCGAATCGCACTAGGCTGGTTGCGATTCTAGTACTGATCACTTAAATCGTCTATAATTGTGTTGGTGGTGGTGCGGGAGGAGTTGTAGGTGGAGGTGGAGGCTTTGGTGATGGTGGTTCTTGCCACGGTGGAGGCTTTGGTGTTGGAGGAGGTGTGGCTGGTGGTGTTGGAGGAGAAGGTGGAGGTGGAGGTGGAGGTGGAGGAGGTGGGGTGGGGTGGATTAGGTGGAGGATCTAGACATGGGGGTGGCTTTGGTGCTAGTGGCGGTGTAGGAGGTGAAGCTGGTGGAGGGCATAGGTGGGGGAGGAGTAGATGGAGGCGGGGGTGGAGGAGCAATAGGTGGGGGTTCAAGTCATGGTGGCAGGTTTGGAGCTGGTGAAGGTGGTGGTGTTAGAGGAGTAGCAGCATGTGATATTGGTGGAGGGCATGAAGATGGTGGTGGAGGTGGAATTGGGATAGGAATTGGAGTGAATTTAACATTCCGTCCTTCTTCAGTTAAAGTTAATGGACGGATCTTAATGATGGGTGGCAAATTGTTTTTTCGAATGTTTTGGATGGGAAAACTTACGCCAAACCTTGGGTGGGGAATTGTCATTTCTCTCGCTAGATCATGAATAAATTGGCTAGGTGGTTAAACCAATAGATTAACACGATAAAATTGTCGAAAATGTTCAAATTGATTTGTCTCTAGTTGTTCATCCAATAACTTGTTAAATTCTCCAAAAATGATTAATTCCTCTATTGGTAATTGTTGTAGGACACACTTTGGAGCTGCTTTTACTGGTATAATATATGGCTTTCTCACGTGCCCTACGCTACAAGTAGATGATGCATCTTCAAGAACAAATCAAGAAGAAAGAATTACACTAGTTAGACAATACGCGAATTCCTGTAAATCACTTGCTGTGTTCACTATCTTCATAATTGTTTTAAGCTCTTTCCTTTTTGTTATCGAACCTCCTCTTCTTACACTACCACCTTAGATGATTCTATAAAATATTAATGGAGTAATACTACTGTTTTAAAGTTGTATCTCAAAATTTTCATTTCAAACTTTTTTTTTTTTTTTTTTTTTTTTTTATCACCGAGGTGTTCGAGTCAGATTGCGTATCCTTCAAGTAATTCTCTGAGGTTTTGGAACTATCGACCAAGTAAAAGCCTAAGTGGTCACCCTTATTATTGTTTGGACGAACTTAAAAATTCATGGAATCTCGTTTTACTTTTTTACCCTTAGACCAGCTGGTTATTTTCGTCTCAAACTGACTTGACATTGTTGTACTGATGATGGGATGATACCGTAATGGATATCAATAGTACCACATCAGTCTACAAATGGAGATATAACTTGGAAAGAGTATTATCACTTAAGTAATATTAGATTAATAGAATGTAACATAAAAGTCTTATATTTATTTTGAGCAATGTTAGTCTTACAAAGACAAATACAAAGGGGGCATATAAAGATAATTGTTACCTTTGATCTTCATGATTTCTCTCTCTCTCTCTCTCTCTTTTTGTTCTTTCTTTGTTTTTTCCTTCTTACTGAGATTCCTTCTTTGTATTGTCTTTGTAAAGATAATATTTTTCATTTATTTTTATGTAGCATGTAGGATTCCAGCTCACTTGGAAAGGAGACAATTGTGTAATAGTATGTGAATAAGCTCTTTGTAGTAGTTGCTGCATCCTCTCATTTGTATTTGTTCTGTACTTCACACTTTCTTTTATCCCAAGAGCTTCATGAAATTGATGTTAAATTTATTTGATTCTGACTGCTTATAGTTTTTATTTCTGAGTTTGAATTCATTATTTCAAATCTCTTTGATACTTGGTTAATCTTTTTGTGCACTCTGGTAGATAATTACCTCTCTAGGTTATGAAAATCAGTATGAGAAATTATTAGTAATCTTTTTTCAAATTTGGTAGAACCCATCACTTGTCTTCTTTTGACTATGAAATCTAATGTCAAATTAACATGATCAATAAGGAAAAAGCGAGATATTTAATAAAAGAGAAGTGTTAGTATCAGTCGTGAGTGCGGTAGTAGTTAGAAATTTAGAATCATCTTGAGGTTATCTACCACATTTTTAGAGTATTCAATGGGTTTCAAGGGTTAGTTGAGATACACATAAACTGACTTAGACACCTCAGTCATAAAAAAATAAAAAATAAAAAAAATTAATGAATTGACTTTATATATTCACGGTACTAATAATATTTTGTCACATTATTTTGAATGAAAACTTTATAAGTATAGTGTTATTTTTTATGAAATGTAAGAGAAGAGCTACTTTGTTGACACCTCTTTTATGAAATGTAAAAGAAGAGGAGGTAGTGAATAATTTTTAATGCCTCTAAAGGTCTCAGTGAGATAAATGTAAGAGGAGGAAGTGATAATTTTTAATACTTCTGGGGTCTTGTTGATATTTGTTTAAATTTGAAGGAGTTGCAGTTAGGAGGGAAATTGTTATAGTTCCCAAGTTTCGCTGGGCTAATATTTTCAGCCTGCATCTCAGACTGGACCAGCAACGATCAGAACTTCGTCTCAATCTCTATAAAGCCTTAAAAATTTCTGTGACTGAAGCCCATGGCGGGGACATTAAAGAGTCGTGTTTCTATATATCAAAAGACTTACACTGATTCTTGCCATCTTATCTAATATCTCAATCACGTAGATGCATGTTTGGAGTCCACGTATATCAATGGATGACTAAAGAAATCACACACCTGTATACTTACGCACTCACCTTGAAACCACGTATAATCATCTATAAAACCCAATAACACTTTTTTCCTCGTCATCAACTTCCGTAATTAAACCTCTTGAAGTAATGATCCTAGTGTCCATATGAAAATTTGTCTGTCTTGTTCAGCTTTAACATAAATAACAATGGCGATTGGTAGGTTCGGTAAGAGCCTAGTCAGCCCTCTGTTGGTAGTGAACTCGGTTGCAAATTTGATCATACTTGGACTTGCTGGATGGTCTCTTGACAAATACATCGATGGTGAACAGAATCATCCTCGTAATTAATCTCCCTCTCTCGACCTTTCTTGTGCTCATGTACATGTTAAGTAGATGATATATCTTTGTGATTTAGCTTACTGGGTTTGTTTGTGCTCTTAATTTGTCTCTCTGAAAAAGATTTGGGTGGGAACACTTCAACGAGCTTCATGCTGATGTTTGGGTTGATTTGTGGAGTGATTGGCGTCTGTTCGGTTATAACTGGGCTTCTGCATCTTCGTTCATGGACTACTGATAGCTTAGCCGCTGCAATTTCTCAGGCNTCATGTTATTTTTTATGAAATGTAAGAGGAGAGCTACTTTGTTAACACTCCTCTTTTATAAAATGTAAAAGAGGAGGTAGTGAATAGTTTTTAATGCCTCTAGGCTCTAAAGGTCTCAGTGGCATAAATGTAAGAGGAGGAAGTGATAATTTTTAATATTTCTGGGGTCTTGTTGATATGTCTTTAAATTTGAAGGAGTTGCAGTTAGGAGGGAAATTGTTATAGTTCCCAAGTTTCGCTGGGCTAATATTTTCAGCCTGCATCTCAGACTGGACCAGCAACGATCAGAACTTCGTCTCAATCTCTATAAAGCCTTAAAAATTTCTGTGACTGAAGCCCATGGCGGGGACATTAAAGAGTCGTGTTTCTATATATCAAAAGACTTACACTGATTCTTGCCATCTTATCTAATATCTCAATCACGTAGATGCATGTTTGGAGTCCACGTATATCAATGGATGACTAAAGAAATCACACACCTGTATGCTTACGCCCTCACCTTGAAACCACGTATAATCATCTATAAAACCCAATAACACTTTTTTCCTCGTCATCAACTTCCGTAATTAAACCTCTTGAAGTAATGATCCTAGTGTCCATATGAAAATTTGTCTGTCTTGTTCAGCTTTAACATAAATAACAATGGCGATTGGTAGGTTCGGTAAGAGCCTAGTCAGCCCTCTGTTGGTAGTGAACTCGGTTGCAAATTTGATCATACTTGGACTTGCTGGATGGTCTCTTGACAAATACATCGATGGTGAACAGAATCATCCTCGTAATTAATCTCCCTCTCTCGACCTTTCTTGTGCTCATGTACATGTTAAGTAGATGATATATCTTTGTGATTTAGCTTAATGGGTTTGTTTGTGCTCTTAATTTGTCTCTCTGAAAAAGATTTGGGTGGGAACACTTCAACGAGCTTCATGCTGATGTTTGGGTTGATTTGTGGAGTGATTGGCGTCTGTTCGGTTATAACTGGGCTTCTGCATCTTCGTTCATGGACTACTGATAGCTTAGCCGCTGCAATTTCTCAGGCGATCATATCCTGTTCTATTACTGCTCTCGCTTTTGGGTAAATATTTGTTACATTTCTGATTTCCGCAAATGAATTCAAGGACAAAATTAAACCGAAAAATTTCAGCATATCTACATTTTTGTATTTGCGCTATTTCTTTTTGATTGATTTTATAATGGTCTTCTTCAAACAGTCTTGTATGCAAAGAGATAATATTAGGAGGGCGCAGAGGGAAACGCTTGTTAAGTATTTGGAATTTAATATCTCATGTTCTTCCTCAAACATTTTGTATGTCTTTGGAGCTGTTGTATTGTTTCCAAAAAGCATGAAAAGTACTTCCAGAAAACTAACTGAAAAAGTGTATTGATATGACTTTCAGCAAACACTGGAAGCATTCATTATAATATCACTGCTAAGCCAGTTGCTGTATCTGGGACTTCTGCATGCTGGTGTTTTTAGCTGCAGAGATACATAAAGTCGTGAGCCCTTGAAGAGCAGGACTCATTGCATCTTTTATCTGAAAGATTTTCTTATAAAGATGAATGTTTTCATCTGTGTACACAACTTGCATTGTTTGCCTGTTTTTTATTTCCTATACATGACAGCTTGCAATTGGTGATCTCGTAATTGGACAGGCGAGACCTATTTGCGAGCTGTCACGTCGGGAATTGTGAGAAAAAGTTTGCAAGATGAGGTTGTAAGTACAGTATTGCCCCTGAAAAAGCTAACTTCATTTTCTTAAGAATCGTAAAGATCTTTTTATTTTTTCACTTCTGATCTGATTAAGGCAGAAAGCCACACTCAGGATCAGGCATGCATGTATATTTGAAATTTCTTGCTAGAGATTGAAAAGCATCAAGACAAGCAGTCACTTGACCAGAGCACACAAGATTCAGAAAAGGCCGGTAATTTTGTGCAGCACAGAAATGAATGGTAACCTATTTCCCTTTTGACTATGAGTAATCTCAACGCACAGGTAGTTTTTTCGGCACTCAAAATGAGCAAGGTAGGGAATAGAGCATCAGGTAGTAGAAGAACGATAACTATTGACACCAAAAACAGAAAGAGAGCTCCACCTAAAATTGTAACCTACAAGGAATACAAAACTGACATCAAATATCATTTCTTTACATGTAAAAACAGATGAATACACAGGAAACTGAAAATGCAAAGATGGAGAAGAAATAAAGAAAAATACCAGTCTCTCAGAAATCCTTGATGCTAAGGTCTTTCCTCCTAGAACAGCTGCAACTACACAAAGTGCTTGTCCACTGATAAAAGTAAAATTAATGATGATTGTAAGAAAATGCAGTTGCAGTTGAAGCTAAAACTATCATAAGAATAGCTTGCAGTTACAGTCAAATAAAGGTTTTGATCCTATTGCCATTCCTAAAAGGGAAAAAGCATTCTCAACTAGAAGATAAAACATACATTATTCCTCCAAGAACAACTCCCAAAGTGTTCTCATCTGCTGCCAAACCAATTGTGGCTAACTGCAAGAAATTTCAATATAAAATTTTAATTTAGCGTTCAAGCAAAGACGATTCATGATTTAACAGGTAGGACTAGAACCTGGCTCTTGTCACCCCACTCGCCGAAAAATGTTAGGGAAAAGGCCTGTGGAAGAAAAAGGCTTAGATTAATAACTGGTCTATTTAGTTTTCAGTTACATAGCATGTCATATTTTTTTCTACTAGAATTCTGTATTTCACATAGTGCAATTCTGCTGCAACTCATTCAATCTTCAAATCATTGGTAATAACAAATCAGTTTATTGGCTTGGTACAGAAAAAGGAGAAAACAATGAACAACCTTCAAAAAGACAGGTGTGAAAAAACGTGTGAAAACCGGCCTATGTTGCTTCTTCAGATCCTCATCTTCCTGTTCATTGATGAGAACTAACCCAGATCACAACTCACAATATAACAAGAAAGATTGATTGGTTTAGACATTAACCTATACCATCTTCAATCTAATGCTAAGAGAACCAAAATCACAAAAGGAAACAAACACCAACCAATTCCTTTTCTACTTCAGCCAATTCTTCATTGTCACTGTTAAAGAAAAGAAATTTGGGTTTAAATTTCTCACAGAAGTAGGAACCTTAAATGCTCAAGCAAATGCATGTTCAAAAATGTTTCTTCCTGAGCAGAAGGGAACAGAATATACTCATCGTCTTCGGTAAGTCCTCCCCAGAGAGACTGGATTCCAAAGACAAAGAAGAGAAAGGCCGTTATGTGATGAGCCCATTTCTGAGAAATCTGCATAGTTCCATATCAAATGATTCATTGCCTAGGAGGGCATAACCAAAGTTATGGTAGAAATATAGATTCCTTCTTACCAGATTCGGAGCAACCCAACCGATTAGCGCAGAGATTATAGTCATCACCTACAGTTCAGTCACATCTTATACTATGTTAGAGGTTTGAAAATCATTATTCTTGTTGACAGCAGAAGACTTGTCATGCACATTAACAAAGCACATAGGAGGAATGAAATATTCTTACTATAACAGAGAATAGGCATCCTAGAAATACACTCCTCCTTGGATAGCGCATCGCCAAGATCTTTCAAGGCATCATTGTCATAATGTCAGCTAGCTAAATAACTGTATTGTTCAACTTATACCATCTTTCACAAGTAAAAAGTTTTTGACAGTTTTTATCCAATCAATCAAATTAATTTTGGGGTAACAGTTTCAACACATACGGACATGAGATCTAAATGAATCAATGGATATATCTTAGAAAGTAAACTCACAGCTGCAACACAGAATGTCCTATCACCAACTTCAGAAAGCACTGTCATAGCAAGGGATTTAGTAAAACCCTGAGCAACAGAAGCAGATAACAACATATAAAAAAAATCAAAACGAGGAAATAGTTATCAATTAAAAGAGAAGACGATTGAGTTCTGAAAGCAGCATTACATGTAACACTGATAAATTCATTCCTTTCATGTTGCAGAGTGTAGAAGAGGATTTTACCACCTAATGGATGCTTTTTCTTCAGATTTCCTGTAGAGTATTGCTACACTTAGGAGTAAGTATTCCAATTTTTGTATTCAGAGGATGTGAAAATTAATATAATTAGACCAAATAACTTGGAATACTAAATTAGCATTCATAATTATTAATACTAGGATAAGTGGAGCAAGTAGTCAATGTAACCACACATTCTTACTTCACATGGCGGTGAAGGCAGAATCAAAATCCAGCATATAATATTTTATGCTTTCAAAAAAATCAAAACCTAGGAAAGTAAAAACAAAAGCATATTAACCACCATTGGCTAGCAATGGTAAAAGACTAAAGGAGGATCTAACATGGTCTTCCTCTCCCAAGTTTAAGTCCCCTTATGGTAAAATAGCAAGAGGAGAATCTAATATGATCTCCTAAATTCGAGTCTCCTTGAGGGTAAAAGAGCAAGAGGAGGATCTAACATGGTCTCCAAAGTTCAATTCTCCTTGAGAGTAAAATAGCAAGAGGAGAATCTAACATGATCTCTCGAGTTCGAGGATCTAACATGATCTTCCTAGTTTGAGGATCTAATATGGTCTCCCGAGTTCGAGTCTCCACGATTGCTAATATGGGTGGCTATTAGAGTTTATACCCTACCAGTAATTCTAGGGTCTCAAGGGATTAGCTAAGGTGCGCGTAAACTGACCCCAAAGACCATTGGTCATAAAAAAAAAAAAAACAAAAGCATATTACATATACATGATTCACGAGTCATTGACTCATTTAATAAGTTTAAAAATTGGATTGAGGCTTACCTAAGGATGTTATTATGTCAGGAAGGAAGAACAAACCGGGGTCATTTACTCATTTTTGGGTTTAAAAAATGGATTGAGGCTCACCTGAGGGCGTTAATATGTCAGGAAGGACTCCTAATCCCAGTTCCCAACTTCGATTAAAAAAAAAAAAAAAAAAAACAGAGCTCATGACTCTACCCTCTAAAAGGGAACTTCTTGAGAGCCACTTCCCATTATTTTTACTACCATAACAGGCAATTTCTCATATGTATAATACGAAGCTGTTCGCTTATTTCATTTTTCTTTAAAGTCTGTTTTTAATTTCATTTTATAGAGCAGAAATTGTATCAAACATTAGCTTGGGGACTCTTTTAACAGTCAGTAATTTACCAGCAAATCCTGAGCCATGACACTGCCGCTAAACCCAACCGAAACTAGCTTCAATTCTTGCTGAAATCTAAAGCCATCAGGTATTTTGTAACATCTCATATATATACAGAAGATAAATATATTAGCTTCCTGATCAATGCCAGCAAATTACTTAAGAGTCCGAAAACCACAGATTTCCAAGGTTGCAAAGACATCCAGGTATAGAATGTTGTTCCATCCACTGGAGAAAGAAACTTGTTCCAGAAATTATGAATATACTTTAATTAAAAAGCATTTTTTTTTAAATAAATTTTCTGGTGGAAAACGTTATTTTTGCAACTGCAACCCATTAAGACGTCATTGCCTGTAGTAAAAACCAATGTTTTAAAATCCAATCCGGGGTGAAACCCGAGAAAGTGGTCGGGTCCCAAATTAACCGGTTTGACCGACGGGGTAAACTGGTGTTCAAAGGTTTGAAATCTAACAAAAACATCTCTAAAAATTACATGTAAGTCCCTATAGGTTTGGAACCTTGCAAAAACACCCCAAACAGTATCGTCAACGTCAACAAATAAGGCATGTTTCCAACAACGACAACACTCCCCTCAGCCTCCTGACCAAAACCCATCTCACCCCTCCCCCATTTGCTTCCCCAGTTGCCGACGACAACGGGATTTTTCTCACGACATTATTTTGCACTTTTCAATCGATTCACTCATTGAAAATCGACGTCATTGCCACCATTGCACTCATCGGCATTTTCTCTTCAAAAACCCTAACATTACAACCTTCAATTGTTCACAGATTGATATTCTAATTTCTAGGATTTTGAATGAATATGAAATTTTGTAACCAGACCCGATGAAGGCTTCAAGTCTAGGTTCAACTGGTCGGGCCAGACCCGGTTTTAAAAAAGTGGTAGAAACCGTTGAAAAGTTATTAAAAAAAAAAAAAAAAAAAAAAAATCTTTAACATAATTCATGTAAGACCACACAATAGGGGAAAACTAAATTAGAGATTAAGCTAAACCAAACGCAAATGAAAATGTTGTGTCTAATTCTGATATTATGAGTTTTATGTATTGGTGGAATAGTACAGAACCCAATATTATTAGGCTTATTACCAGACATTTTAATATCATAATTTCATGACTCCTCGGATTCCTCAGTCTGCCATTCTACCAAAGCCAGAGTGTGGCGTCCCCCACAAGCAACGAGTTTAGCGATCCAATGTCCCTCAGCTTCACTTTCACTTGCATTTCTTGGAGGTGGGATATTTATAGGAACTTCCATTGGTTGGCCTGTTGTCACCTTCCTCCCATATCCGAGACGTCCATGGTCACCTCGTCCAAACTGGACATTGGAAAACCAGTCATCAATGGGAATTTATATTGTATTATAAAAGCAACAATCTTCTTTACATCCTTTCTAGAGAAATTAGGCTCTTAAGCCACAACTCATTTTTCCCTCCTCGACAATCATAATGAAATTTCCATCACAACTTACATATATGCCTTTTTGAACAATTAAGTTGAGTGTCCTAAGAGAAATTCCTATATTAATCCAATAGCAACCACCCTAACCCAACACCTAGACCTGCTTCTGTCAGTGTTGGTAAATTAAAATACATCCATTACTAGAAACACCATCTTCAGCATTTATTGATATAGAGACACAAGCCAGCATCACTTTCAACTTCCATCCTACATTTGCTAGCCATCACAACTATAATTCTCCTAAAACTTAGAATAGAAATGGACAATGAAGAATACTCACTGAAAACATGCGCCCATCCTTTGTCAATGCAACTGAATGTGTCCCACCACAAGAAATCTGGATCATGGATAGGTTAATTAAACTTAAAAACATATAGAAAAAAGGGAAAAAAGAAAAGGACGAAGAAAACAAAGAGCAAGGATATAAGGTGGGTTTTAACATCCCAGGTATCTACCCGAGTTTTTGTATGAGGGTAGAGGCTTAAAATGATTTATTCTTGATTGATCATGCAATGACAGTTGTCAAACCATATTTTTGGACTAACATACGCATCTATCACAAAGCCTTTTAACAGCCACTTGATCCAACTGATCCAATCAGAGAGAAATTGAGAACAATTAATTAGTACTACCTGAACAATGTCCTCCCCAGCTAAAAGTTGAACCCGTTGGGGCACCATTTTACTGCTCTTGTCATTGTCCCCAAATCCAAGTCTCCCATGTTCCCCTCTTCCCCAACCATACACCTGAAAATCAGACATAAATGGAAGCTTATTTCAATTGACAATCTAAATGTCTCACAACGTTCAGAACTCAATATCTATTTGATAAAAATAATGTATCACAACATTCAGAATTCAGAATGTTCAGTGACTACAATTGACAACTAAGGTGACAAATTATATCCGTTGTTTCTTACAGTTACTAGAATGCAGTACTTTATAGCTACGAATGAACATGCCAATAACAATCCTTAAAACAACAAACAATTAAATCATAAGTAAACAGATAACCTCCTTAACAAATAAAAGAAAGCAGTACCTCCCCATCATCAGTCAATGCAGTAGAATGCCATCCTCCAGCAGCAATATCAACCTAGATGTGCATATGGATAGATAGTCAATCAGACTTAAAAATGAAAAGTAATAGTAATCATATTGCAGAAAAGATTTTCCATAGTACACCATCTTAGCAACATATAGATAACCGAAATTCAAGACAAGTAAACATAAACTATAAATGAATAAAAGGTCGAGGCCAAAACCTCTGAACCATAAAGCCATGGGGAATGAAGGTGACTAGAAAAATAGACAACACATCTTGTTAGAGCCCTTATCTGAGTTTAGCACTCATCTATCCATAAATCACAGCTCTACATTAATCAATCCATCCACCACATAGGTATATTATAATCTTACAGAAAAAACAATTTCATAATAATCCCTTCTCAAACTTTTAAGCTGTTATATAACAAAAGAAAAGACGTATTTATGTTCACAAACTTGTATCTCTAAGGAGCTTTTAATAAAGTCCTTAGATTAGGACATAGCAGACAAGGAAAGATGTCAAGTTTATATTTGACTATAGAAATTTGATCGACCAACAGGCAAAACACATGGCAATGTAAGAAGCCCAACATTCATCAAACCTTTGGCTCTAATGATGCATTCAGACTCCAAAGAACTACATGTTTAGTTGCAGGATTCGGCATTCGCACTGGTAGACATAAATCTAAGGCAAAGTGCAGATATGCAACACCAACTGTGACATTTATATCACTTCAACTTAAGATTTTTAAAGTAACAGTTTCAACTACCAAACCTGTCCAGAATTTTCAATCTTGATATAACTTTTCTTAAAATGACAAAATCTAAATGGAAGGCTCTTTTTCTTATTTTATTTTTGACAAAATCAAGTGTACACAATTTTTATAAAAAATAACTCAAATTAACATAAGTTTTCTCAGTAGTTCACGCCAATTTAACAGTTATACACTAAGATGAAACTGACAGTGCTAGATACATGCTTACTCCAAATGGTAAGATTGATAGAAAAATGAACACAGATTTAAAAGAAAAAACCAAAGCTCTAGCAATGTAATACATACCAAAGTGAGACCAGAGAGCCCTTGGACAGGAATAGGTTGCGATCTTGGTTGGGTATCCCCAGTACCAAGTTGCCCATACTCATTGTTACCCCATGCCCACAACGTTCCATCCTCTTGAAGAGCCAAATTATGAAATGCCCCAACAGCAATGAGTCTAACCTTTTCAAGCCCTTGTACTCGCACAGGAATAAAAATTTGTTTTCTGTAATGGAACATATATTAGCAGCATGTAACCAAGGTGAAGCCTGCATGAACATAAAGTTGAAGAACAAAACCGAAGGTGACTATACATGTCTCCAGGAGGCCATGGTTGACCCCAGGTCCATACATGTCCCTCACGTGTAAGCACCACAGAATGGGTTCCCCCCGCAGCCACCTATCATATTAGCAAATTAGAAATAGCAAAAGTTGATCTAGGGCAAGCCACTTCATAAATTACAACCACGCAAAAGAAGTAAATGAATATGTCAGGTAGAGGTGAGGAAATTCTTACACCATGCCACAGTAAGAAACTTATTATTGTTATTATAACTTTTTTTTTTTACACAGAATAAAAAAACTTGTTAACATAAAAAAAATTCATGCTACAAGTGTAGTGTACCAATGGTCCACGAAGTGAGAGACATATAAACCAGACTAAATGGTTAAGTATCCATAGATGCGTAGAACAGATTAAAAACAATTCTATCATCAAAATGTCAGAGCAATACTATAGAATTTGTGAAGCACAGCTACAAATCAACTAAGCTGGTAGATTTTAGCCATCCACAGTGTTATCGAAATTGGAAACAGAACCAATGCCAAATGTTTGGCTCTGCAACAAGGTTTGACTCCAAGAATCTTCTAAAGAGGACAACTAAGTGTTTGTTAAGAGCACAAGTTGACAATAACCCAAATAGATATACGGCAAAAAGTATCCAAACAAGGCACATAGAAACAAGAAAAAGCAAACAACTCCTCTCATCCAAAATACACAAATTAGTATGAGCAAATCACCTGGCGAACAACAAGCTTTGGGGCACATCGCTGAGGAATCACAATGTCCCTCCTCAAAGGTCTACCAGTATCATCTTTTCGCTCAGGTTCTTCACCACACTGACCATACTCATTCCCACCTGCACCAAACATACTTCGCAAACTTACATTCACCACACTTACAGCCCACACTAATTCCCCACAGATAAACCTTTTGGAACCCTCTCCAATTTTTGTAAAATTTCTTTTGCTCTATTACATGCATTAATTTTAAAGTACTTTGTAATAAATAACAACAGAATAAAGAAGATGAAATAACATTTATATACCCCAAGCATAGGCACGGCCTTGATCATCAACAGCCAAACAATGCCATCCACCAATAGCAGCCTAAAAATCAAGAAACCAAAAGTTACAAATCAACTTCAACTTCAACTTCAACTTCAACTAACTTAATACCAATAGCAAGTGTTTATGTCAACCAAAAGAAGAACCGTAATTACCTGAACAATCTTGACGTTAGCAAGAGCCTTAACCTGACTGGGAACATTTTCAGTCTTGGTCTCAGGTGGGTGACCCAAGGTCCCTCTCTGGTTCCATCCCCAAGTAAACAACTGATAAGAAAACAAAAAAGACAACACCCACTGACCCACATCACTAACTAAAACATCAAAAATACAATTTTACATACAAATACTCCACATCATTACAGACGAAAAACACAACCTTGCCGTCGTCACAGATGGCGAGGGAGTTACGGCTACCGGCAACAACAGAACGGACTTTGTAAGGCTCAAGAGCTTTGACAACACAAACCCATTCTTTCTCTTCGTTGTTTCCTATTCCTAATTGCCCATCTTCTCCCGAGCCCCTGAAATGAAGTAGAAAGCATTAAAATGGGAGCAACAGCAATATCAAAAGAAGAGAGTATGGGAGAGTAAAAGAGAGAGACCAAGCAATGACAGACGTGGTGGCAGCCATGAGCAGTGAGTGTGCAAGTAAAACAAAAAACAGAAGTGGGGTTTTATATTTATATGTAAAGAGGGAGGGCTAAGTGCGTTTAGCGCTAGTTGGGTTGTGCGAATTTGATTCGATGGGCGCTCTGTGTAATTTATCTGCTGTGTGTAGTGGATGAATGTTGGCAAAGTGGGACTGTGAGAATGGGAAAAACAAGTGGATGCCGTTTAGTTGTGTATTTTTTATATTAAATTAGTGAAAAATGTTACTTGTATAACTCAATCTCACACCATTATCTTATAACTCTAACGTGATAGTAAATTAGTATTATCACATTAGCTGTCACCATATTCAATCAACTCTTAACACACCCAAGATAGTATTAGAAACAAACTATCGTTCTTTATAAAGAAACAATCATTTTTTCATGTTCGTTAAAGAACAACCAAAGGATTTATTATTTCTTGAGGAATAGTGTTGTTACTTGAGGAACAAATATTCCTTATGAAATGAATAGTTGTTTCTTCGAAAGGAATAGACATTCCTCCCATGAGGAATTGTCGTTTCTTTGTTCCATTAAAAATGACGTTTTATATTTTTGCACATCGAGCATTATAAGATAAGTTTGTAAGAATAGATTATTTGGTAACATTACTCTAAATTGATAAATGCCGGGCCATACATTTATGTGAGCTTTTGTCATTTTATTGTTGTGCAGTGAGAACTAGTCCATTTTATGCTGATTCGTATCCTTGTCATCAACACATAAGAAATTTATGTACAGATTCTTATTTATATTTGATCTAATGCTGCAATCAGCAGAACATAAGCCAATTGCAAACACAATGGTTTCTTATAAGTTTTAATTCTCAGACAAGAAAAGGACCTGAGACTGTTGAAGAGTCTTTTCCATTCTTCAGTTATGTATGAAAAGGTTGCAAACACAATGATTTCTTATAAGTTTTAATTCTCAGACAAGAAAAGGACCTGAGACTGTTAAAGAGTCTTTTTCATTCTTCAGTTATGTATGCAAAGGTAGAAATAAAATGACCGCGCACTTAATTTTGTTAGGTATAAGCACTTCTCTTTTAATATTCAAGGCTCTTTATTTTGGAGGTGTATACGATACCTGGGCTTGGTGGGGGTGTTGGGGGAGAGGCGAGATGCAAGAAAAATTACCAACTTAGACGAACTAATTGAAGCCTTACGCATGAATATTTTACGCCCTCGTTTGGTTTGAGAGGACTTCATGAATTAGTGCCAAAAGAATAAATTACTCTTTTAGAAGAAAATACAACACTAAATAGCGACTGTAAAAGACTCGACCAAGTACTACAAGGCCTGAACAAACACGAACCTTAATTTGAAGTAATTGAAGTTTTGAAAGGTGCATCACCTCTCATAAGTCATAACAATGATCAACGACAACGAACTCCCCTGGCCATGGAGACCACAGGGCAAGTAGATTTATAAAAAGAAAAAGCCATTCTACAAGCTATCTCACCAGATGGTATCAAAAGACAACTAAGAACCAGATACTATTGGCATGGCATGAGCAACCGGCCAATCACCAGATATGTAGTTCCCGATTTGCACTTCGATAAAACTCGAATTACCAGGATATAATCCAAACAATGAAGCAATTGAAATTCTGAATTTAATTGACACAACTAATTTCGACAAAACACAGCATTGCACTCAAAACACTACATGAAAGCCAAACCAAATTCTTCTCATCAATAATTTAAGCTAGTTTACAATCTGTTGGAACATTTCAACCCCAGGTTTTGTCAACACTCGAGATTATCAGTTCATGAAATCCTGCTACAACTGCCCACATGACATCCATGTAGATTAAAAGCCACAAGATAAAAATAGAGTACATATCCTATCAACTGAACTCATCACTGCTGCGCCTCGCTTGATTCACGTTTTGATGCTTCCTTAATCTCATCCCCAGCATCATCCTAAAATCAAGACAAATTCATCAAACAAGGAACGGCTTAAATGATAAAACGGTAAAATAAAGCAGCATTTGCATCAGAGCCCTCATAAAATAAAATAAAAAAAGGATCTAATCGATCATGAAATAACGGGATGTGCGTGCAACTCAAACAATGAGATTGTTTAACATTTGTCTGATTATGAACCATATAAGCGATAAACAACTTCCATCCAAATTTAGATTATGTGATTTATGGTACTTTGACCAAATAGTGATAATGGGTATTTGAATCAGACCGAGAAATATCACACTCCAGTCAGATTGTTGTGCAATGAGGGTATCAACCAATTTCAAACTAGGTCACATTAACACATGGCTACTACACACACAGGAAACGAATGATTGAGACAGAGGGACAACATACGGTGATATCAGAAGTCCAAAGTGTAAGATTGTCTCGGAGAAGTTGCATTATCAATGTACTGTCCTTGTATGATTCTTCACCCAATGTATCCAGCTCAGAGATAGCCTCATCAAAAGCCTGCCAAGTGAAAATAGTATGGCTATTTTAAGTACACAAATATTGTAAATGATTTCCATGCAATTCTACACGCTTATTTCCACTAATTACTATATTCTTCATGAAAAGGTTTGTAAAGATCCCACCAGAGCCACACTCACTCTCTCTCAAATGCAAAACATAATCATAAAGAGTTGAACAGTAACAGCAAGAGAAAGATGGGGCACGACATAATCCCAACAAATATGAGAAAGAGCACTCACTCTCATGTTAAAGAATCATATAATTCTAACAGTCTTATTTCATACCATGCACTTAATTTGGACTTCTATAAATATAAATATCAGGGTGGATCATTTATATCTTAGATTACTTAATGTTTGAAGAGATTCTTGACAGAGTAATTTGGGCAAAAGCTAAAATTAATCAGGTCCTAGAATAGGTCATTTTTTCAAGCATATAAACATTTCAAAGAAATCATTGGAAAGATAAAGCATAAGCCTTTATCCTGAATTAATTCTTTTTCACAAAAATTCAAGTTATCAGCCAGTAGATCAATTAAAGATAAGTGCAGAACAACCACGAAATAAAAATGCAAAATTTACCGTTATGAGGTACAAATTCCTGCATCAGCTATCATCCCATGTTTTTTCCAGATTGTCCAAACAAGAACATATATAACAAGATTAAAGTAGTTATGTATACACACCTGCTTAGCGAGATTGCAAGCACGATCAGGTGAGTTAAGGATTTCATAGTAAAACACAGAGAAGTTAAGAGCCAGTCCCAGTTTTATTGGGTGAGTAGGAGCAAGTTCAGCCAAAGCAATATCCTGCACAAACATCAACAATAGCATAAACAAACTAAGCAATCCATACTGGAAACAGTAAAATTGCAGCAAAAAGAATAAAATATTATGCTTAGACAAAAGAACATAACCAATACCTGGGCAGACTTGTAGGCCAACAAAGTGCTCTCAGCAGCTTCCTTCCTCTCACCACCAGTCTTAAACTCGGCCAAATACCTGTGGTAATCACCCTTCATCTTAAGGTAGAACACCTTGGACTCAGCAGAAGATGCTGAAGGAATGAGATGTGACTCAAGGAGGCTCAGAATTCCATCACAGATCTTGCTCAACTCAGCCTCGATTTTGCCCCTGTACTCCTTGATGACTGACACGTGGTCTTCATTTCCTCTGCTCTCTTCCTTTTGTTCAATGGAAGAGATGATTCTCCATGAAGCCCTCCTAGCCCCAATCACATTCTTGTAAGCAACAGAGAGAAGGTTCCTTTCTTCCACAGTTAACTCCTCAACATCAACTGTCTTTGCAACTTTCTCCATGAACTCCACCATTTCTTCATAACGTTCAGCTTGCTCAGCCAACTTGGCCATGTACACGTTTTCTTCACGAGTTGATTCGGTAGGCGACATCTTTGTTATATCAATCTAAAATTTAATTCTGCAAGATGATTCAAGTCAGTTTCACTCATGAAAATGATTTATGCCTTATATATCAGTAAATCAGATGTCTTCTAACTTTATTATATGCATGGTGTCACATAGCAATAACAGTCTATCTGTGAACAAATCTAACAAGTTCATCAATTATTCTCCTTTGGATGTTGTTAACATCAAATAACTTAAAGATCTTACTTTTATTAAGCATCCTAAACAAAGACTGAATTCCTTCAATTTTAAACACTTTCTCAGCAAGCAAACAGATCAGAATCTACACTTCCCTAGTCAATATAATCTAATTCAAAACCATTAAATCTCATCTTATATCATGGCTTAAAACTATGACAAACACTCAAGTGAACCAAAAAGTCACTTCAAATTCATTCATGTAGAGATCTTCATATTTTCAAATAGATAACACTAATTCTTTTCTTTCTTAATTCTGTTGGCCTCGAAACGGCCAAAAGAAAAAAAATAACCACACAAAATCAGCCCAAATCAAGCATCATGTAGCTTATATAGCAATCCCAGACTAGTTTAAACTATAAATCTCCTTGACTCAGTCTCAATAATTAAAAAACCAAGCCAAATAGACAATTTCTCTTTGCTGACAACGTTTTCTCGGCCAATAAACACAAAAAGAAACAAAACCTCAAATCATCTCATCAAATAGAGCGTCATACAGCTAAAAAACGCAATTTTAAACTAATTTCACTACAAATTTAGTTTCTCAGTCTCAACAACTAAAGAAAATAAAAATAAAAATCAAATAACAAATTTCTCTTCCTCTCCAACATTTTCTCTGCAGCCAAGCAGATCTAAAGAAGAAAGAAGAGATAAACATGTAACATCAAGCATTAAACGGCTCAAATGGCAATCTCAAAACTAATTTCCACTCACAAGTTCCTGTTTCTCAGTCTCAATAATTATTACCAAGAAGAATCACAATCAAAATCAAACAATCAGTTTCCCTCCGCTTCTAACAGTTTCTTGGCAACCATACAGATATCAGAAAAGACAAGAAAACAAATCTACGAAAAGATCACGTCTTAACAGATCGAATTATTAAACACTAAAATCAAGTAAATCAATAACCGAAACAAGAGATCAATCAATCAAGCAAATACCTTCGGATCTAATCAAAAGAAATCAATAACAAGAAACGAAAAGTAAAAAGAGTAAATAAAGTAGAATAAAGTAAAAGATCTGAAACCCTTGACTAACCCTAAAGAGGAAAGAGGGAAAGGTCGATAGGGAAGTAGTGTGAAACGCAACGTATAAGGGTATCGTGCGAAGAAGGGACGTGATTATGGAGAAAAGAATAAATAAAGGAAGTGAAAAGAGGAAGGGGTCCAATGAGAAGGCGACAACTGTTAGGTAGCGCAGATTCCGTGATTTTTGATTCCCTTGGAATTGACCGTCAACTCTCAAAACACACTCGCACGCATAAAAACCCATCATTGTTGCTCCTTTGTTGTGGGCTTCCTTTCACGCTTCTTGTTCTTTCACACTTCACAGTTTCCATTTTCCAATCTAACCAAATTTTTTTTTTTTTTTTTTTGTTTTAAAAGATGATTTCAGGACTCAATCTTATAAATTTCTCTTATAATTCTGATATAACGATTTGTAATTGGTCAATTTACAAATAGGTAAATAGGACCATAGCAAGCAAGTAAAATATATTTGTAAACTAACCAATTACAAGATAATATATTGAGATTGTGAGAGATAATTTATAAGATTGAATTATAAGTATGGTATTACTTTTATATATATATGCTTTATTTTATTTTATTTTTCAAATTTTAATTTTAAACTCATTCCTTTTATGCAAGTATTAAAATACTTTGATTATAGGATTTTTCTTAATTTTTTAAAGAATATTTTATACTCTTAAGGAACATTTTTTTTTTATATTTTTTAAGAGGTTTTTCATAATTACAATAATGTTTTTAATACTTTTTAAAAGAAATGAAACACTAAATATAAGGATCTCACTTTGAGAAAAAAAAAAATAAACTTTTATATTTATGATTAATTAGAAGAAAATATATTTGATACTATTGTACGATAAAGTATTTTATTAGTATGGTATTATGATATGATAATATAGAATTGGATATTTAATTAGTAAAGTATTGTTTCATGCTTTGAGTTTAAATTTCTTAGTCAAGATTTTAAATTTTGAATATTTATGTATGTGTATGAGCTAAGTTATTGTAATATAAATTTTTGACACAAATTTGTAGTCATTGATTCAATGTGATATCATGGGTTTAAATAAGAAGTTAGAGTTAGTTAATTTTTAATGTCAATTAAGCAAATTTTAAGTCATTGGATTATCATGAATCAAAGATCATAAATTTATGTTATAAATCTGTGTCAAACTTTTATGGTACAATAATTTAACCCTATATGTAATATGATATTTTTTAAAAAAATAATTCACTTAAATCTTAATGATATAACTAAATAAATGATATAATATAGATGTATTAACAATTTAATGTCAAATTAATTTAGAAGATAGTATTATTGTGGGTAGTGAAGATGTGCTATAGAGTTGGTTATTTAATTTAGAGTACACCACATGTTCCCACCCACGTTTGGCGAGATGACAAGTTTTTACCCCTGATTTTATAAATTATAAATTTTCACCTTTAAACCAACACCGTTAATAACTTTTAGACTTTGACACAGGTAGAGAAAGTGATATTACTATATTGCCCTTGACAAAATATTTTTAATTTCTTTTAACCCCCAAATTAATAGAATTAGAAAATAACCCCCACTTCAAAGCCTTTTTTGGGCCGCCACTTCCGAACCTTTTTCCAACCACCCTTCCCACTGGAAATAGCCCTTTACCTAGCCATTCCACTCCCCAGTATACCCTCTACAAAACCCCCTTGTCCCCCGAACCCTCTTTGCTCCTTTTTCACCATCTCGAAGGCCATATTCCTTGGGTTTTGTGTGAGTTTGAAGGATTGTTTTGGGTTGATTTTGTTGGATGTTTGGACGTAAACTGAGATTCTTTAGAAGTGTTTGTGACTTGTTGGATTTTTTGGGTTGTCGGCGCCTCCAAAAGCTTTCTCCTTTGACCTTTTTCCGATCAAACACAACCTGTTAAATAAAAGTTCGCAATCAGCGACTTGCCCTCCAGCTTACACTCTCGTAAACCTTCTCCCAACCACCACCACCACCTTTCACGGCCGCCACCACCACAACACCTTCCACGACCACAACCACCTCACCACCAGCAACATCCTCTCCAACCTTCTTTTCACCAAAATAACCACCCATTTTAGCAAGAGGTGGTGGACGTTAGCTTGTGCTGTTTGGGTGCTTTTTTTGGGGCCGATTTCCTCTCGTTGGCGACTCACCATCCCTCCCATTTTGTGGAGGGTTATTTAACTTATTTTGAGACTTTGAGGGTTACTTTAAAATTTTTATTTTTGTAAATAGTTAAATAACTATTTTAACCTTTGATCATTATATTAAATACATTTTCTGTTAATTTAAGGGTGAAAATAAAACTTATGAAACTAGAGGTAGAAACTTGTTATTTTGCCAAACCTTGCGTGAGAACATGTCGTTTACTCTTTAATTTAATTAGTAAATGCCTATACCCGTCCACCAAAAGACAAGAGACAAGGAACTGCCCCAAATTGAAGTGAAATGACTAAATAAATTCTTAAACAAATTTTAATAACTGAAACTTACTTCATTTACAAGTCCCTTAAGAATAAGCTTTACTTATGTCATTGTGTCACTTATGTCAAGTGCCATTCTGCCAAGATTTACTTCACTGATAAGTTTACCATCGACAATATTTCTTCTGAAAATTCTCATTTCCGGTTGAGAACTTTCTATTAAATATAAGCTAATAAATAAATATATATGATTTTTCATAAATGGAGAACTTCATTTACAGTTATCATATTTGTGGAGTGGGGCATGTGAGGTGAAGCATTATCATAAATGGAGTTTGATGAGCTTTGAACAAGTCTTTTTCTTGTTTTTTTTTTTAGAGAGACTATTTACTGTGGAGATGACATTTGAAAGTATGAACAAGTCTTAGGGTGAAATGAAATAGCAATCATTAGTCCTTAAAAATTAGGTTGAAATATATTTAGCTGCTATTTAGTTCACTTTTATCTGTTGTTCTGATTTATGATGTTGAGCATTCCAAGAAGTTGGTGGCTTTGTTATTGGCGAAGAGGTTTGTCAAGTCAATTTATGGTCCCCATCCTTGATTATTAAGACAAAGAATTGTGATTGAGAAATTTCCCAGAAATTTCCTTTATAATTATGGAATAATTTATTATTTTTAATTATAATTAGACATGTAAAAATGTGTTTGGTTTATTATTTTGGATAAGATTTTAGGAATAATATTGGGTAATTTAATAAGGGAGTATTACGAGGTAAAATTTAAAAATTTATGAAAAAGCTCATAGGTTTGTTAACTTAATTAAACACCCTAACATATAAAATAACAAAAACACCCCCATCACTTGCAGTGCCAGATTTCGGCCACTACCACCAGAATCTGGCCAAAAAATTATGTTACGACACAGACCGGTAAATCGAGTTATGACATAGACTGGTCGGATCTATGTCGTAACACGCGTTATAGCATTTTTCGGCCAAATCTACCACGGATCTGGTCGGAAAAGACCAGATCTAAGGCATGTTGTGGCCGCGACGGTCGAAAAAGGCTAAAACGACTGCCATCTTTGGCCGTTAGCGACTGCCAAAGATATGGTCGTCGTTTTCGGTCAACGATGACTAAGATTTGGTCTTCAGATCCGTGGTCAATCTGGCCGGAAAAGGCCAGATCGGTGAACTTCCGGCCAATTCTGGTCGGTAGGTAGGCCGTTGAACAGATTCCGGCTACCACCGATGGTGGTTGTCGAAATCTGGCAAGTATAGGTCGTAGGGGTGTTTTTGCTAATTTTTAAACTTTTTTTCAGGGAGAATTTAATGAAATTAATAACCTTATGAGTTCTAAAAATAATTAAAAAAATAGGTAATATTTTTGAAATAATGTGCCAAATATTATTTAAAAAATCAGATCCAGAATATGGATAATAGTAGTGAACCAAACACGGCCTTTGTTGAGCAAAAAGACAAGTGGTGGTTGAGATCAATAGATGAACAGTCAATAACCAAATAAAGTCAATTGACTCTTATGAAAACACCACTTTTGAATACTAAAAAGGTACAAATTTTTTTTTTTTAATAAAATAGATTATTTAATAATCTACTTTATATAAAATCAGTTTAGAGATACTTATATCAAATTCTTTTGGGTTGTTTGTTAGTTTAAAAATAAGCGACAAAAACCCTAAATTAGATGAGGATGGACAAAAAAAAAGTGAAGTTATATGTTCAATCTGATACGGTATGATTTTTTAGCAAAAAAAAAAACCGTTTGATTTTTTTTAAGAACGGTATGATACGATTTTCAATTTTTGGTTTATTCGAATCGAACGGTTTATATTTTTGTTTTTTTAATTTTTTTAAATACTCTCTTTAATTACAAAAATAAAATCCCCAAAAAATATCATAAAACACCCTAAAAATATCAAAAAGCCCTCCATTGAAAAATTGAATCATACCTTACTAATTTTTTTGGTTCGGTATAATTCGATTATTAATCTAATACGTATGGTAAGTAGACCTGGCAAACGGGCGGGTATGGTCCGTGTAACAACGGGTCACGGGTGGAACGGGTCGCGGGTGAAAAAATCTCACGGGTCGACATTTTCATGATCCGTACCATCCCGTGTAGGTACGGGTCACCCGTGAAAATTTATTTTTCTGTAATCTGCTTCAAATCACAGTCTCTCTTTCTCTTTCTCTCCCACTTGGGGAAGAAGAGACATCAGCAGACTCAAAATCTGCTGCAAGAGAAGTTTGATTTTGAGTTTGATTAGATTCAGGATCAGAATCCCCACTTCTCCTACCACTATTAAAAGAAAAGCTGACCCAAACCTCTCTCCTTTGCTCATCTCTCTTGTAACCAATTTCTTCTTCATCAACAGGCATCTTGTATCTACAAACAAGACACGACCTATGAATCCCAAGCCACTTCTCTATATATTTAGTGTGAAACCTATGCTTACATGGCATCTCTTTCCCCATCTCACCAACCTCATACTCTTCTAAACACACTACACACTCACCCACTTCCCCTTCTTTTTCATCTTCACTATCACCAATCTCGAAACTCCGCAGAGCCTCCACAGACGCCTTGGAAGCTGGCGGTTGACCATCTTTGGATACTAAGTTCCTCATCAAAGAATCCAAACTTGACGTTCCTTCAATCACCACCATTCCTTGAGTCAAAGGGTTAATTAGAATAATTCTCCCACTCGAATTCGTAGTTTTTCTTGATCTGTGTGTTCAGGATTACTCTCTCTCGTGGAGATGTTACCCGTGAAACCCAAAATAAAGGGAAGAAATAAAGACATATCTTTGTGCCTCAAGAGTCGCTCAAACAAAGAAGAAATCTCAGGAGTTTCAGCTTCAGAGGCCATGGCAGCAAGCGAAAGATCAGAGAAGTGAAGAAAGCGTGGAGAGAAATCTGAATAAGCGAATAATGGAATTGTGGGGAGAGAATTGGAAAGGAAATATAAGGTAGCGCACAGGAAGAGAGGAAGGTTGTGGAAAGATCTGGAATACCGAGTGATAAGTTTTTTTTTTTTTTTTTTTTAAATTTCAAATTTGCGGGTCCACGGGTACTCGCGGGTAGTACCCGGTCCATCCACAAAAGTCACGGGCGGACCAGGTACGGGTCAGATTCTCACGGGTCAAAATATGTATTACCCGTACCCGCCCGTTGGGTGCGGGTACCCGTTGACCCGCGGGTACACCCGCGTGTTTGCCAGGTCTAATGGTAAGGTACAATTTTTTCTTGTACGGGACGGTACGGTTCAGTTCAACTATAAAATGGAACCGTTTTGTTTGTCTACTCCTGAAACTGGGCCTAAGATTGTTGGGCTTAATCCATTTCTCCTTGGGTCACTAAACTGGGCCTAGATTGTTGGGCTTAGTCCATTTTCTCTTGGGTCATTAAACTGGGTCTTAAGGCCCAACTACATTTTCAGAAGTCCAATAAGTAAATTAACCTTCATATCTTCTTCCTCCTCAAAGACTCGCAGCTGTTACAATCCAAGCAAGGAACGAACATCATTTTACCAGAGAAGCTCCGTCAAATGGGATACGTTCAGGAAGCACGAGAGAATCACGTGAAGAAGAAAGTAGAAGAAGGTACTATATGTAAATTAAACCCTTGTTTGATTGCGCAAAGTTTATGTTTTTGTTTTGAAATTGCAATAATGTTTTAATTAAAAAAAAAAAAAAAAAAAAAATGGTAGCTTTGCGGAGTAAAATGAAGCAAAAGGCGTTAAAAGAATGTGATCGTTACACGTCCAAGTATGCTGAATGTGCTGCTGGAAAAACACTTTCGATTGTGTGGCAGTGTCGCAAACAAGCTAAAGAGTTAAACAATTGCCTTCATCAATAGTAAGTTTATTCTGTCGGAGAAACATGTTTTTCTTTCTTTATTTATTGTTTAAAATGTGTTTGGATGATATTAGGATGTAGCTTTATGATTCTGCTAATAGAATTAGTATTAGAGAACTGAGTAAGGATGTATTTGGGAGCTGAAAGTGCATTTATGAATTATGCATCAATTGTAGTGTTTGATTTGAAATAGACAAGGAAATTACTTAGATGATGAAAAAATATTTGAATTGCTTTATTAAAAAAGTATCTAAAGTCTGATTTAAATGGCTTGATCGGCACTTTTCTAAGAAGTGTCTTTTCGTAAAACCTTCAAAGGGGAAGCATTTGTACTTGAAAATGCTTTCTATTCTTACCTTTCCCCAGTAGGAGCACTACATGCAGATTTCATTTTGCTATCTTGGGTGAGCATTGTTTATTTTATTTTATTTTGTATTTTTAGAAATGTCAAATGGTTGTTGACATTTTTATTAGCATTTTTGCATTGAGTGACTGCCCGCAAGACTGAAATTTAACACTCTTGTCCATGTCACTCAGAGAGTTTTAGTGTTCCATCTGGCAATGTTTCAGGCTGTGATTTGTAAAGGAAACGTGTTTATGAAAATATGATCAAAGGTTAAAGATTAAGAATCATTTGAGTCAACTTTGTGCTGACAGTAGCTTCAGATTTTGATAGATTTCATTTGGATAATTTCCTTAGTAATTTTTTTTTTTTTTTTTCAAAACATAAAATAGAAATGTAAATCCATGATTGGACTTTTCAGTCCTGGATCCTGAAATGTATCCGATACAGGTCCCCATTTTGATCTGTTATATGATTATTATAAAACATCTAACCAAATATTTGATCTGTTCATAGCTTCTGTGGCTGTTCACTGTTGTACCATCGGGTCCTATAGCATGAATTGCAAAATGTTTTGCAAGCCTTCCTCCCTCTTATTTTGCCTATATACATGTTATGTTTTATTTAATATCTGAGGGCTTTTATTTGGAATGTTAATGCTCTTTTTTCCAGAGTTGGTTTTGCTTTAGAATATATTATTATTCATCAACATGATTAGATGTGCCTAGAGATGATAAGGAAAATATGAATATGTATGGAATTGGTTCCAGTCTACAAACATTTATACTTCTGGACAATTCATTTCCATTGATCATCACTTTATTGTCAATTTTAGATCATTTGTTTCTTCATTACTGCATCTCTTGCAATTTTCAATGGTACCTATTGAACTTGTTGGAAATTTCTTCACTGATGCAAGCATTTGTTTTGCACTTAATCAATATAAATATCAATAATTTAATACACTTTGGACCTGTTGATGACCTGAAAATTGTCGTTTCTAGCAAACATTTGTTTTTGTGGAGACATCAAAAGTCCTATCTTTATTCATGTATAGCTCAACTCTTATGTTTCTGAACAATAAGTATCATGTCTTATCAATGGTCCAAAAGACTAAGGGAGAATTGATTGAAAGAACAACGGCCTTTATTGTGTTCCTGCATTTGAACTACAAAGCAGATGAATGAAAAAAATGGAAAAAAAGGATGTCACGTTTATGACTGGCTGTAACTGTTGTGTTCAGGATGTGGTTTGAGTTGTGGTGTTGAAATTTTATCACATATATAACCTTATTTGACAAAAATGGAGTCCCAAAATAGGAGATAATGTTTTGGCAGGCTTAATCTTGACAACGGCAGATTATATAAGTTCAAGTAAGAGTGAAGACATAATAATCATCTCAAAGACTAAACTTAGATTGAAAAATTGAGTCTGAAAATTCAAGTATCTGACATGGTTTGTTTTTGCAGCACTAATGACGCTGTCTTGGAAGAAATGAAAAGAGAATATATGCTTCAGCAGGATGGAAAGGAGGCTGCAAGAATCTGAGCTAGGTGACATCATCCAGTGTATGGAATTCCCACAATAGGGCTTGTGTTGTATGATTCAATTCTCTTCATCGGTATGCTAATAATATATTTCTGGGGTTCCTGTCATTTACCATGAAACTGGTTCTCTCCACTGATATACAAGCTACACTTCTGTATTAAATTTTTTTTTTTTTGGCATTTGTGGAGCATGTTGGAGGTTGTTGGTGGTAAAAATGATCTTGTTTTCAATGGCACTTGTGAAACTTATTTTCTTTTTTTTTTTTGGGGACAAAACCTTGATGTTAATGCACAATTTGTTTAGACCCTATACTTCGCACTGTAAGTTTACATCTTAGCTATTCACTAGCTAGGAGGGAATAACTGGATCAATTAAATCAAAACAAACTTGTTAAACAATATCACAATACAAATAGCGATTGACAATAATGTATATGAATTGATAACTTTCTTATCATTCAAGTCATTACTCTCATGCCATTTGAAAGTGTTAGCCAGTGTTTTAAAACCCAGCCTAGCTTGACCAGTTGAATTTGCACTTGAGGCCTTTATCGGGTCGTGTTACCAAATTTACTATTTATTGAAAACCCTAGAAATTGGGACAATGATTAATGAACAATTGAAGGCTAAAATGTTAAGGGTTTCTAAGAGGAAGGACTTGTTAGTGGAAAGGTGGTGACGGAGGTGATTTCTGATAAGTGAAACGATTGGAAATCGCAAAAATAAATTAGTGGCAACAGCCTGTTGTTGTTGTCGATTAGCAAGGCGAACAAGGGTGAGATGAGATAGGTTTTGGTCAGGAGGCTGAGGGAAGAGTTTTCGTGGTGATGGGGTGTGTTGTTGACGCCAGAAAAAGGCCGTATTTGGCCTAAGTTGTAGATGTCGATGGTGTAATTAAGGGTGTTTTTACAAGATTTTAAACCTGTAGGGACTTACATGTAATTTTACGAGTGTTTTTGCTAAATTCTAACTGTTTTATATGCTAACATTAGACCTCGCAAAACGGCTCTAGAATCGCGGGTCGACCCGTACCCAAGTAAAAAATATAGGGTATGAGTCTAATGTATTGGACCTTTTTTTTTTGGACCTGTACCTGACCTGTATTATCAACGGGTAAACCTGTGGGTACCTGTTTATTGTTTAAAAAAAGGGGATTTGAAAATTGAAATCCCTAACTAAAACAATTCGACTCTGAACTCTCATTCTCTCAACTTTCAAGCCTCATCTCATTCTCAATTTCTTATCCCAATCCCACCGTCGCCATTTTTGAACTCCTTTCTCTCACAGATCACAGTCACCACTCGCCATCTCCTCTCTCTCACATCGTCGCAACTCGCCATCTCCTCTCTCTCTCCGTCGCAAGACTCGCAACTCTCCTCTCTCACCGTCTCACATCGTCATCGTCATCGTCATCGTCATCGTCAACATCTCTTCTCTCACACCACTATTGCAGATCGGTGAGTTTTTAACATGTTTATAATAGCCCTAAAAATATGTTTCTTCTTTCAATCAAGTTAGATGTTTAATTTTTAACATATCTATTCAGATTAAAACAATAAGGTAAAGTGTGTGTGTTTTTTTTTATATTTAATTTTTTAAGTCTGTGGCTTGTAATGCTATATGTGTGTTTGGTGTTTGTGAAAATGTTTGTGTAAATTTTATGACACGGGGTTTTGATTTTGAGATAGCTATATGCGTGTTTGGTGTTTGTGAAAATGCGTGTTTGGTGTTTGTGAAAAGTCTTACAACAAGTGTTGCACTTAAACAAGAGGAGGTAATGTAAATGCAAATTTTTTGACCATTGACCTCTTCTCAGCTCAGTAGGAGTCGAACAATATTTAAACGCTGAATTGAAGATTGTAGGTGGGTGCAGATTCAGATTCGGAAGCATCTACTGCCATGCCCTACACTTTATCAAATCAATAACTTATAACCCAAAATCTTCAATGACTTATTACATAAAGATGAAAACAACCCATCAATAAAAGGGCTGGATAAGTATGCACCAGTACCACTAAACACTTTCAGATTGTGACTTTTAGATTACGACTCCAAACTAGAAATTGCCCTTAGTGTTTGTATTGGATTTGCCATTTGATTTCTTAAATGCCTTGGAGGAATGTTGTTGATTTTGTTTAGTAGCAAAATGTGAATAATGAATGATGGGTATTTGCAAAATGGAGTGTATATTTATATTGCTATTATTGTAATTACAATAAGTCAATATAATTTAATCACATTTAGTTATATTTATTTTTCAATCTATTTTAATATAATATTTACATTGATATTATTGTAATATCACCCCATCAATCTAATATATATATATATATTTTGGTAGTCTCAAGCATTGACATGGCGGATTCTAAAACTATAGAAACGGATATGGTTAACGTGAGAGCAAGTGACGATGCTTCTAGGGTAATGCCACCTCCTTCTAATTCTAGTATTCCTGCAACTAGTTCTAGAGATAAACGTAAAACATCATAAGTTTGGAATTACTTTGAGACACATGTTGATGAGAATAAGAATGAGAGGGCTAGGTGTCATATGGGAGATTGTCCAAAACGTGGCAACCATGATGTAGGGCAATTATTGATTGATCATGATCATAGATTGCAAAGTAGAAAGATTAGTCAAGAGACTTATCGTGACTATATGGCCTTATCAATTATTCAACATAATTATCCATATTCATATGTGGAGAATCAAGGAACTAGGAGAGTCTTTTTGTATGTTTGTAAGGAGCATAAGCATTATTTTAGGAACACTGCTAAGGCGGATTGTTTGAAAATATATGAAAGGACGAAGCAAAAAAACTAAGCTTGAATTAAGGAGGCTTACTAGTAGAATTTGCTTAACTTTTGATGTTTGGACTTTTGGTACAACTAAGGGATATATTTCTTTGACAGCTCATTATATAGATGAGGATTGGGAGTTACAAAGTAAAATACTGAACTTTTGCCATATTTCTCCTCCACACTCAAGGGTTGTTTTGGCAGATAATATTATGAATTTCTTGCAAGAGTACGGAATTGAAAAGAAAGTTTTCTCAATTACTTTGGATAATGCAAGGAGTAATGAAAGAATGGAGGATATCTTGAGGAATCAACTTTGTGTACAAAATGCTTTGTTATGTATGGGTGAATTTTTCCATGTGCGATATTCTGGACATATCTTGAATCTTATTGTTCAAGAAGGGTTAAAAGCTACTAGCGTCGCTTTAAATAAGATTCGAGATAGTGTGAAATGTATTAAAACAATTGAGGCTAGAAGAATCAAGTTTGGAGAACTTGCTATACAAATGGGAGTGAAAAGCTCAATGGGGTTGAGTTGGATGTTTCCACTAGATGGAATTCGACATTTTTAATGCTTGAAACGGCGCTAATATATCGTCCTGTGTTTGTGGCTTTATCAACAATAGATCTCAGTTATAAATTTTGTCCATCAGATGACGAATGGGATAGGGGGCGAGGATGTGAAAGTTCTTGGAACCATTTTATGATATTACGACTTTATTCTTGGGTTCTAAATATCCTACAACAAACTTGTACCTGAAATGTGTGTGGGAAATTCAATTCGTTTAATTGAAGAGAGGATGAGTGAGGAAGAAGTTGTTAGGAGCATGGCGGAATAAATGATCCCAAAATTTACAAAATATTGGGATTCTTATAGCCTTGTGTTGACGATTGCAACTATACTTGACCCACGTCTCAAGTTTCCATTTGTGGAGTATGTTTTCAAGAAATTTTATGATTTGACTACTGCCACACGGAAGTCGGAGGTTGTTAAGAATAACTTACAAAAGCTTTTTCAAGCTTACAAGGCTCAATGTTCCAAAGAAGTTCCTGCCTCACCTTCAGTTGTTTCTCTTGCTAGTGGTCCTACTCTTGGTAGGCGTATAGATCATTCTTCTGTAAGTTACTATACTTTTTAGTTTTTATATTCTTATGATAAATGAAGCATTGTTTATTGTTTAATTTTAACTTTTGACACTTAACTATTTAAATGGTGGAGGATTTTGACAACTATGAGAGTGATTTCATTTTCTCTAAGAAATCCGAATTAGATCTTTATTTGGAAGAGATGAGGTTTGACTGCATCAAATATCAAAATTTGGATATCTTCGATCATTGGAAGAACAATCGTGATCGTTATCCGGTACTTGCCATGATGGCTCGTGATATCATGGCAATACCAATAACATTCGTTGCTTTGGAGTCTGCTTTTAGTATTGGCAATAAAGTGCTCAACAAATATCGAAGCTCACTTCGACCAAAAAATGCTTAATCTTTTATATGCACTCACACTTGGCTATATGGATATGAGTTTACAGGTAACATGTTAACATAATATTTCATATATTTTATTATTTATATTTATTAATATTTGTAGTTGATTATTGTTTTGTAGATGATGATGTGAATGATGATTCGGATGATGATCTTAATGTGCCATTAACTAATCCCGGGACCATGGAATCAAGAGACTCTATCACCCCCATTGTGGGATGAACATTTGCTGCCATAAGAATGTTTTTTGTTGAACATTTGATTATTTATTTGTTTATTTTAGTTGGTATTTGTAGTTTATTGACTTATTGTATTTGTTTATGTGTATTAGTGATTATGTATTTGTTTATTTTGGTTGGTATTTATAGTTTTGTATTATATGTTTTTGACTTGTGTTTGTTTATTTGTATTACTATTAGTGATTATGTATTTGTTTATTTTGGTTGGTATTTATAGTTTTGTATTATATGTTATTGACTTATTGTGTTTGTTTATGTGTTATTTGTTTATTTTGGTTCATATTTGTTTATATTCTAAATTAAATTGAATTTAGAGTAGTTGATTTTGGGGTGTAAATGTAAAAAATAAAAATTGCAAGAATTTTGGGGTGTAACTATCTTAATTGAAAACTATTGGGGGTGAAAATGTAAAAACCAAAACCTGGAGAGAGAAAAAGGGGTACCTGCGAGTCCACCCATACCCGCATAGGGTAGGGTATGGGCCCAATATTTTGGACCCATATATCTTGACCTGTATTGGGCTCGTACCCGTGATGACCTGACCCGAACCCAGCCCACCCACCCGTTTTGCTAGGTCTAGCTGACATCACCAATTTGACCCACCGATCAAACATGTTCAACCGATCAACCTAGGACCCAATCACTTTATTGGGTTTCAACTTGGGCGGGTTTTAAAACCTTGGCGTGACATGCCCTTCAAGAAATCGATATTACCCATATTTAATCTACCATTTACAATTTTACCCTTGTTTAATTAATTTTTTTAGACAATAATGTCCTTATATTTAAAACAAATCATTGACCACCATCGTCACCTAGCGACCACCGTCGGCAGCTGGCCAACCACCACCGATTGCCGTTAAAAGTCGTTGGGAGTTACGGGGAGTCTTTGATATGGCCATAGATCTAGCCGGAAATGGCCAAAAATCCACGGCCAGATTTGGGCCAGAGCTAGTTTTTAACAACCATTGATCTGGCTGGAAACGACCAGATTAGATTTGACCGTTTTTTGGCCAGATCTATCATGATTTGGCCATTTTCGGCCATAGATCTGGCCGGAAATGGCCAGATTGGCGCAAGAAGGCCATTTTGGGCCAACTGTATGCCGTTGTGTTGCCAAATGCTGGCGGCTGGCGGTGGTTGCTAGCTGCCAGACAGTGGCTGGGTTGGTGGGGGTGCATTCGTTGATTTTCTAAATTTTTATTATAGGGTTGTTTTTGCTAAGTTTTTAAATATAGGGGGTTATATTAATAATGTAAATAATAATAATACAAAATAACAACAACAACAACAACAACAACAATAATAATAATATTTAAACATACGCACCAATCTATTCCTCCCTACCAAACATATTAATATAACATTCCCACCAATCTATTCCTCCCAATCAAACATATTAATATAACATTCTCATCAATTTATTCCAACCAATCAAACACATTTCTTTAAACATTTATAGTAATATTCATGGTAATCTATCTTTTTATTAATATAATATTCTTAGATCATCTCCAACTATAAACACCAAATTGGTGTAAGTTTTACACTAAATTGGTGTCATTTTTTGTGTGTTTCACTATTTCATCTCCAACCCTATTGCATTAAATATTACACAAAAAAGAACATTCCTTAGAATATTCTCTTTCTTTTTCTTTCTATTAATAATCAACAATTAGTCTATTTCACTAATTATTTTTGTATATATTAATTAAATATTAGGAATAATATTTTTATTAAATAATAATTACTTTGAAAATTATACTAATTTAATAAAATTAAGCATTTATTTAATCAAATAAACATTACATTTAATATAAAAAAAATTACATCTAATATAAAATGCTAGCAAAAAAAAAAAAAAAAGACAACGACAATACGAAAGTAAAATTCCATATTGATAGTAATTTAATTTTCCGAATTAGTATATTCTTCTCACAAAGATCAATTAATGCATTTCAAAGAGTATGGTGAGCTTCTGTATCCTTGATTTGTCTATGTCGAGTAAGAAAATTTTGAAATCAGACATTTTCATCTACGACAATTTAAACTTCGGGAGTTGGCGCTTCCATCTGATTCTCAATCGATGCATCAACATTACGATCATCCTCGATTATCATGCTGTGCATAATAATACACGCAATCATTATATCATATAATACATTTTTTTCCCAAAAACGTGTCGGTCCTGCCATAATTACAAATCGCGATTGGAGAACTCCAAACGCACGTTCCATATCTTTTCCACATCCTTGTTGTTTCATTACAAATAATTCTTTTTTAGGACCACGTGGATCGTGAATAGTTGTACGAGAGTAGACCACTTTGGGTATATACCATCAGCTAAATAATAACCCATATTATACTCCTTTCCTTGAATGATATAATGAGCGGGAGGAGCAATACCTTGAGTTAGGTTGGCAAACAGATGAGATGCCTCCAACACATTAATGTCATTGTTGGAACCTGGCAAACCAAAAAATGCACACCATATCCAAATATCATAATCAGCTATAGCCTCGAGAATAATAGTTAGGGATCCACTATGACCAGCATATTGTCTTGCCCAAGTTGTTGGACAATTTTCCACTTCCAATGCATGCAATCTAAACTACCCACCATTCCTGGAAAACCACGTTGTTCCCCAATATGAAGTACCTTGCAACATCATTAGCATTAGGTGATCTTAGATATCGTTATGCAAATACCTCAACAATAGCACGACAAAATCTCTTCAAACTTTCAATGGTTGTAGACTCACCTATTTTAATATACTTATCAGTAGCATTTGCCGGTAGACCATACACCAACATCTGGAATACAATTGTTATTTTTTGAAAAACAGACAATCAAAGCCTACCGAGCCCATCCCTTCATTGTACAAAGTAGTTATCATGACCTTTCACGTGATCAACAATATGAATGAATAAATTTTGAGACATTCGAAATCGTCGGCGAAACATGGAATCATTATACCGTGACCAACAAAATAATTGTTGAACAGATTGCGATCAACAGTTTCCCATTGTGATTGACGACTCTATGACCAGGATTGATCCTCTACGGATTACCTGGTTGTTTTGTTGATTAAGATAGTGAAGGAGGAGGAGGAGGTTGTTGTTAGCTCTCATGCGAATGATTGCTTCTTGCTCTGCATCAACCGCTTCAAGATCATTCATCAATTCCTTGTCATCAGTTTCATTGTCAGAAAATGATGACGAATTAGAAGATGATAAATGAGATGGACCTCCAAAATTGAAATTCATCTTTGTAGATATATTAGTTGAATGATTTGGAAGTTTATTTGGTGTGAGCTTTTATAGTTGAAGAAAACACTATTCTAGATAAAAAATAATAATTCAAAAAGATGTATTGTCCATTCAAGCTTTTGAGATTTGTGGCTTATTTCAAAAGATGTATTGTCTATTCAAGCTTTTGAGATTTGTAGCTTATTCAAAAAGATGTATTGTCCATTCAAGCTTTTTAGATTTGTGGCTTATTTCAAAAGATGTATTGTCTATTCAAGCTTTTGAGATTTGTAGCTTATTCAAAAAGATGTATTGTCCATTCAAGCTTTTAAGATTTGTGGCTTATTTCAAAAGATGTATTGTCCATTCAAGCTTAAAAGATGTATTTTTTATTAAAACTTTTGAGATTTGTAACTTATTTCAAAAGATGTATTGTTTATTCAAGCTCAAAAAGATGTGTTGTCCATTTAAGCTTTCAATTCAAACTTATGCTATAAAAGAGCATACAACACATTAGTTTTGAACACATCTCTTCTATTTCCTCTTAGAAAAAAAAAAAAGCATATATCTTCTTCCTTTGTGTTACAAAATGAGTACACAACGAAGTTCTTTGTATACAAATGAAGAAGACATGCATCTATGTCATATTTATCTTGATGTTTCTCAAAACCCGATTTTAGGTATAAACCAATTTAGCGATCAATTTTGGTCTCGAGTTGAGCTTGACTACAGTAGTTCCAAACCTGTGTTTCTCACTCAGGTTTGAAACAAAAGAACTTTGCATTGTCGAATGCAACTGATCTTTAAAGCTATTAGTAAATTGAGGGGATGCGTACGTCAAATTGAAAATATGAATCCAAGTGGTGCTTCTAAGCAAGATATTGTGAGTATTTGTTACATTTAATTTATTATCTTTTTTTTTTTTTATCTAATTCATTTTAACGTTATATGTATATTGTTTTGCAGATGATTCAAGCCAAAATGTTACTAACACAAGATAAAAGTTATAAGAAAGGTTTCAGATTTGATAATGTGTGGCCTATACTTAAAGATATTGAAAAATTTACAGATAATGTTAACGCCACAGAAGCATTTCAAAGGCAAACCGGTAGTTTTGTATCACAAGAATCAGAGACTCCCACTTCAAAGTCTCCTCAATTGGTGTCTTGTGACATGTCGTCATATTCTCTAAACATAAATGATGAAGATATTGGGGATAGTTCAGCTCAACGACCCATTGGAGTGAAGAAAGCAAAATTAAAAAGGAAAAATGATGAAGAAGTTTCAAACCAAATTGAAACTATTCAAGAAGAAAATCGACAGCTTGCTGCTATTTTCAATCGAGGCAACTTAGCTAGGGCTCAAAATTATGAAATCCAAACCGATCCAAGCCTGAGTGAATTTTTTCAAAATGAGAAATCAAGAATTATTCAAAAAAGAGCTCAACAACAAGGTCAAGGATCTCATACTAGTTCTAATTCTTTTTAATATTTTGATGATCTTAGAGAATCCAGAACTAATCTACCGGAATATTAAATTGTTATTTTAGTTTATGTTGTATTTTCTTTTAATTTTAGTGTTTTTAAATTAGTGTTAATTTTTATTTTGAGTTATTGTAGTTTAATATTTGCATTGAATAAATTTTTATTTTTAATTTTTCATCATTTTTTGAATTATATAATTATTATTATAAATATTAATATAAATAATAATCAAATTAACATAAATACAAATAACAAAAATAAGAAAATAAAATATATTTTATGGTAGATAAATAATATCACACCAAATTGGTGTGGATAAACAATGTTATACCAAATTTGTATATTAGTTTTTAGTATTGGATTAGAGTATATTTTTCACACTATTTTAGTGTTGGCGATTGGAGATGTCCTTAGCAATATAACATTCACCAAATCAAAGAAGTGCAGTGAAAAAAATTCAAAAACTGTCGGAGCTCTCTAAGTTCGAAATCGGAGCCTCTGTGAAACCTTGGGAAACGAAAAATAATGACATTTAACCATAAATTTTGTTGAGACCTTAAACAAGTACAATAATGTTGGCTAACGCCTCATAGATTGATGTGCATTTTACCCTTGGATGGTCAATCATTCGATCCTATTTATTGTATATTTATAACCTTAATTTCTTTTCATACTAGTTTATCTATTCAATCTTCACTTTATACGTAGACTTTGTATGAACACTTGCATGGGTAATATTGCAGTGAGTGTTGAAAAGGTGTTTAATAATTGAATGTTAATAAATATCATATCATAAAAAGGTAATATCAAGTTATCAGCCAGTACCGAGTAGATCAATTAAAGATAAGTGCAGAACAACCACGAAATAAAAATGGAACTCAAAATTTACCATTATGAGGTAAAAATTCCTGCATCAGCTATCATCCCATGTTTTTCCCAGATTGTCCAAACAAGAACATATATAAAAAGATTAAAGTAGCTATGTATACACACCTGCTTAGCGAGATTGCAAGCACGAGCAGGCGAGTTAAGGATTTCATAATAAAACACAGTTAAAGAGCCAGTCCCAGTCTTATTGGGTAACTAGGAGTCAGGGCCATCTCAAAAACATTTGTAATCCTAGGCAAGAGTTACTTTGGGGGTCTTCTAATAATATAAACATATATTAAAAAAATTATTTCAAATTTATTTTTCTTACCTCGTGAGATGCAAAATTACTAGGAGAGGTGGACGACGACTGTTGAGCTAACTGGATTAGGTTGGTGGGGGGTTTTGGAGAGCAAACGCTGGAGAAGCATGGGTGGTGAAATGGGTGATTTCCAATGCTAGAATTGACAGGAAAATGCTTGAGAAGTCGCAACAAAAAAGGTATCGGTGGCTGGTGATTGGTAGAGTAAATGGATGAGGTATGATAGGGGTTTTTGGTGAGAGGGCTGAGGGGAGGAAGATGGTGGTGTCGGGGAAGGCCAACGACATCAGATACATGCCGAAAAGGCCGGAAATGGTTGTCACGCGTAGTGGAGCTGGGTTGCAAGATTCATAAAAAATGGGCCAAATCAAGGGCTATTAAGGATGGGAAAACACTTGCGAAATGATAAAGTGATGATTCCGGTCAATTTTGGTGAGAAAATCAATTGGAATAAGCTCCAAACAGCCGGTGGCAGGAGAGGGGCAGAGATGATTTATGTGAATGTCAAATTTTGAGATTGAATTGGGGGTGAGTAATTTGAGACATATAAATGACCATTTTAGCCTTTCATTGTTAAAAGAAATTCAATGTGTTAATTTAGGGGTGTAAATTGGAATATATTAAACTAGAGGTATAAACTTGCTATTTCGTCAAACTTCGGGTGAGAATATATGTAAAAAGTTTATAATAAATTTAGACTCTTTTGGATCTTTTTTTTTTTTTTTTTTTTTTTTTTTTTTTTTTTTTGGCCCAACATAAGAAATAGTAACTATCTTTTTTTTTGGTGGCATATTTTTCAAAAAAAAATTATAAAAAATTTGGACCATTTTTTGCCCTATTTTTTGGGGGCCTTAGGCAGGTGTCTCACCTGCCTACCCCTTGGGCCGGCCCTGGTAGGAGCAAGTTCAGCCGAAGCAATATCCTGCACAAACATCAACAATAGCATAAACAAACTAAGCAAGCCATACTGGAAACAGTAAAATTGCAACAAAAAGAATAAAATATTATGCTTAGACAAAAGAACATAACCAATACCATTATGGAATTTCCACAATAGAGCTTGTGCTGTATGATTCAATTCTCTTCATTGGTATGCTAATAAGATATTTCTGGGGTTCCTGTCATTTACCATGAAACTGGTTTGGTCTCCACTGGTATACAAGCTACATTTATGTATTAACTTTTTTGGCATTTGTGGAGCATGTTGGTGGTAAAAATGATCTTCTTTTCAATGGCACTTGTGATACTTATTTTTCTTTTTTTGGGACAATACCTTGATGTTTAATACACAATTTGTTTAGACCCTATACTTTGCACTGTAAGTTGACATCTTAACTATTCACTAGTTAGCATTGTTTTAAAACCTGACTCGTTGTGAGACCCGTTAAGGTATTCGGGTCACGGGTTGACCGGTCCAACGGGTTGGACCGATGATGTCAGCAATAAAAATATTTTTGAAAAATTACAAAATATTTCCTTAAATTTTAGTATATTACAAAACACTCCGACAAAATTGCAAATTTGGCTCTGAAAATTTAATTTATTTAAAAAATGTCCTAGATTACAAATTAGTTCCTAAAATTTTGAAATATTTCAAAAAATCCCCAAAAAATTACAAGTACTCCCTATAACTTTGAAAAATATCAAAAAAACCTTAAAACTTAAACCAGATCAGAGAGACTATCAGATCTGGTCCGATCAGTCTGGTCCTAGTCCAACCAACCGATCTAGTCCTACTCTGATCAACTGGTACAGTCCAAGTTTTAAAACAATGCTAGCTAGGAGGGAATAATTAGATCAATTAATGTATATGAAGAGATTGACAATAATGTATATGAATTGATTTACTTTCTTATCATCAAAGTCAGTAGACTCAGAACTCTCATCGCATGCCATAGTGTAACCTCCCCTTCAAAAGATTTTTGCCCGTAACCATGAAATCAATATTGGTTTCCCGAGAAAGGTAGTAAACAACGTTTAAAGCAATCTCAAAGTGCTTTCTAGGCATGGCAATGGGGCGGGGCGGGGCGGGGATCTTATTCACCGTACCCATCCCCACCCTCAAAATCATTCCTCACCCCCGCCCCATCCCCGTTACGGGGATGCCAGGAATTCCCCTTCCCTGCCCCAAAGGGGAATGTTGAAGGCCCGTCCCCGCCCCGTTAATTTTATATAAACATAAATTAATTTGAGCATTACCAAACACAATAGTTAATTCTCGTTCACATGACAAACACTTAAATTAATCGTTTAAACATAATTAATTATACATAAATATAGGTCAGAATTTGTTCTTGTTCAATTGTTTAGGGTGAGGGAAATTAGAAAAATATGGGTTTATATAGACAGGATAATTGTATAATTAAGTTAGGGATATTAGTGAAAAGTAAATATATATATACATTTTTTTAATTTGATATATTATATACGGGGCGGGGGGGGGGAAGGCATCACCCACTCCCGCCCCATCCCCGAGGACGAGGATTAAAACACCCCCCACCCCCGCCCCTATCCCCAAAAAAATCGGGGCTTCCCCGCCCCATAAGGGGCAGGGCGAAACGGGTCCCCAAAATCTCGGGGAACATTGCCATGCCTACTTTCCCATCAGTTCCCAGATTCAACCATTATCCAACCCTAAATATACTCATTCTAAATTGGATAAAGATTGACTTACAACCCAATCTTATAAATTTTTTCTTACAACTCCAATATGAGAGCTTATAATTGAAAAGGCAAAAAGGCAAAACCCATAGCAAGCAGGTGAACACATTTGCAAATTGATCAATTATAAACTACTACATCAGAATTGTGAGAAAAAATTAGTAAGATATTGTAAGTGTAATATTACTTCTTTGGAATTATAAAATTGCAAATGCAAACTGATCAATGGCACTTTCCAAAGAAAAAAGAATCTTCAAGCACTTCAAAAGACATAAAACACATCTATTTTCCACATACCATTTTTTGCATGCTGCAGTATATAAGGAAATACAAGAGATAATTTACTAGACTACTAGACACCTGAAATTTAACTGCAAGATGAAAAAATAAAAACAAGATTGTGGAAAAATTGGCTAAATCACTACATAGCACAAAATTAGTTTCATTCATGAGCTGAACACAGAAATGGGGATTCTCTCAATAAGTTTTTGATGGGCGCCTGGGTTCACAATTGTCAAAACAAAACCACCCTCTTTCACATTCCATCAGTTCATGGCTACCCATAGTACACACAGCCGAACAGTAATAGAGAACCTCCATATGACAAAAATTATATGCTTAAGTACATCAACAAGCTAAGTTGGCTTCCGCATATTTCGACCAGCACGAATTACTTCATCCACCAATAGCAACTGAGATGCAATTACAGGCCTGCAAAATAGAGTAGCAAGTTTGTTGCTCAACCACAAAAATCCATGCACCGAAGCAGCAATAAACTAATGTGGCTCACTTTCTTTAAAAAAAAACTTAGAAAAGACAGCCCACAAGTTGGGAGTGATGATAAAACACATTCTCGCATACCCTGAGTTTATTATTTGACGCTTCACAGAGTAGTTGTCAAAGATGCCCTCCATCTGGGGGTCAAAAGGGTCTCCTGAGTGCTGGTTTAATCCCACAACATTCCCTCTGTCATGCTCCGCCTGAATAAACATCAAGATGAAATAGAACACCATTAATCTATATTTTTTCCTCTTAATATCGTAAAAGGAGAAAACCAAGGAACATAAGAGCAAAAGATGTATGCATACCTTGAGGGCAATGATCACATCTTGAGTGTCAAGCCCAGCATTCTCAGCAAGTGTCTTAGGCACAACAAGAAGAGCATCAGCAAAAGCTTCAACACCCAATTGAGCACGCTGTTCCAAGTTGGTAGACGTTAACAATATTTCAAAAGATAGCATTGTTGTACTTAATCTTATAGGAAGGGAGATTTAAAAAAATATACCCCTTGAACAGTCTTTTTCACTTCATTGACTAGGTATTGTCTGGCTGCAACTTCAAACGCTCCTGCCCCCTGAACAACAATTGGGAACATACCTCACCATCAAAAAACAAAAAAAAAAAAAAAGTACACAAATAACAAGGAATAATTTTTTCAAAGGGAAAAGTTGGTAAAATAAACACCTAAAATAGGTCCCACTGCCACCACCCCACTCTTTCACCATTTGAGCTAAAGCCTATGGGCAGCAAGGCAATCCACATTTTATGACCAGATTAAATAAACATGCGTTAAGAGTCTTTTTCTTAAACAGTCAAATAAGAGTAATCAGTTGAACAAAGCAATTAATTTG